AAACCACTGCACACTCGAGCGCAGCTGCTTTTATCACAGCAAACCACTGCACACTCCAGCGCTGTAGACTATTCCAATGCCTGCCGCTGTTGTTGCCCCTGAACTTAAGTCTACCCCTCAGCATATTATCAGAGGACCTAAGCAGAGGTGGAAATTTCAGGTCCAGAAAGTAGAAATCCAGACCAAGATTTTGTTTCAACCAACCAGTTGAGTACTCTGTGACTGTGACTCTTTATGCAAAACTGGTTGGATGAAACAAATCTTTGGTCTGGATTTCTACTTTCTGGACCTGAAATTTCCACCCGTAGTAGGAGAGTGGGGGTGCAGGTGGTCAGCAAGGTAAGATGGTACTAAGTCATTCAGGCACTTAAAAATGAACAGCAATACCGTAAAATAAACTTGCATGTGGTCTACTGCAATATTACTGAACTCGGACTTGATGTGTATTGTGTTGTCTAAGTGTTAATATTCCACATCTATTGTCTATTTATTATTTATTTGCATATTTTTAGTTGCTCTTTGCACTACTGAATCAGGAAGCATCCCAGTGCCCTTCCTTCACATGCCCAATAAACACGTTGAATCCTGAATTTTCCTTGTAATTTGCAGAGCTCTAATGAATAATGAAATCGTATATGATCTTCATAGATTCCCATGTAGTCAGTGAGGCGCTGTGGAATAACCAAAATGTTATATATGTCTCTAAGTCCCGGCCCAGGTTAGCATGTAGCTGCTTGCAGACCAGAAACCCTGCTTTCCCCGGTCCTGTTCCGAGCACCACTGCTATTATACTCTTACAAAGAAACAGGATAAGATGTCAACACTGGTGCGCGGTTTTGGTTTTTATTTTTTATGACACGCTTTCTCAGAACCCATCTTCTCTCACCCCCTCCCATCCCAGAGTAATATTCCGTAGTCTATCAGACATCTCCTGCCGTTTTCCTTGTTGAAATGCTTGCATGTAAAAATGGGTTTTTGCGTGCATTTGAGAGCAAGTGATTGTAGAGTTGCAGTGCTTTAACCCTCAACTGTAGCACTGGTTGTAGTGCTGATTCTGCTGCTGTTGCACCCAAGGCAGTGCAGTACAGTGACCAGATAATCCATGTCAGAGGCGACACTATGAGCTACTTCAGGTTTTACAAACTACTTTAAACCTGAAAGGCTCTTGTGCTCGGCTAAATTGTTTGGTTCGTCTTGTACTTTTACTGGTGTGCTTCCGTGATTGTAACACTCATCAAGCTGTTTCACATTAACATTAGTGACACATACATGGTTATAGGAAACTGACCAATCAGCACACAGTAAGACCTCAGGGCTTAAGTGAAATCCTGGTCCTTTTAATTGAAATGGTAGTTTACAGACAAAATAAAGATTAGTGTCAAATAAATGAGGCTTTGTTGTTTTGCCCCCATCTTCCCGTCCCACCCCCCCCAACCCCAACCACATCTCCAACCCTTATTTATTTCTTAGGGCAGCATCAATGATCACTTGATTGAATGGGACATCTGGATAGTTATTGTGCCACCATTTGGAAATGCACAATTGGCAGAGGCGACCGCAGCATTTATGATTGAGAAGCATGCTCTTAAGCCAGTGAATTCCCAGACCTTCATTCTGTGTGATCAGCTGTGCAGAGGGCTAATCTGAAGCTAATGCTGAAAGTCCACCTCTGCTCTTCCAGTGGTGGATAAACCGCATCTGGACCGGGCCAGAGCAGAGTCCCTACATCCTGTCGAACGCGGCTGTTCCTCTCATAGTACTGGAAGCGGTGGCGCTGAGAGTGCTTCAGCACCCCCTCTGGTTATTGGTGGTAATGCGGTGTCAGAATACTGTAAGGCTGCGCGCCCGTGCCTGTCGTTTTCATTAAAGAAAAACAACGTTATATTAATTATCTCGCAATGGCTCAGAGGCGACTTTATGATTATTTCTGCAAAAAGGCTACCATTGTTAGCTGTTGGTAGTTACCAGTGATATGAAAGAACTTCGGTAAAGTGTAGGCCTACTTGTCTCTCCTCGCGCCTGTGCGCACACTGCAGGCAGAGGATATCCGCCATTGTGTTGCTCGTGCTAAACCCACGCGTAGTGCTGGTAACTTACCACTGACTTTGAAAGCCTTATGAGACAACGTGCTCACGCTGCTATTCGAACAGGTCATTCATGCATAATAAATGAGATAAGGCATCTCGTAACTGAGCACATAGTCTAAAGAGTTTTAGAAGCCTACAGGTAGCGTATTATGGTAGGTATGCGTGATATGTTGACCCTGCTACATTCTGTAAGATCCATCCATCCATTTTCCTTTACTTATAAGTTGTTAAAGATGGAGATGAATTTCACTTCATAAAATCAGCATAATAAGGGAAATACAATACCTTCATCACCACCATACTAAAGCTATTTTCTTACAGATGACAGCCTAACAGCCAATAATGCAGCAGTCTGTTTGTGCGTAGCAGGTTGTATGAGATGGGTATATTAATTGTGTCTAAAGGCAAACTTTGAACTTGCTGAAACTGGTCTTAATATTGTACGTTTGGAACAAGACACAAAGGCAAAGCACTTCAATCCGGACCACACAGATTTTCTGCTTGATGTTCCCTGAGTCTACTGGACAGGACAATACTATGAAGAGGTAAAATGCCAGCACTTGGGGCTATTGACTGGATGGGAGGTTCTAGAACAAGGTGTGCTGGAGAAAGCTGGTGGAGCCAGAGGGAAATCAGAACACAATTTGACAAGACAAAGATCAAGCAAACAGGTTACAAAACCATAACCACAAACACTGATGTGACAGACAATGCAGAATAATCTTCGCATTTTGATTATATGTAATGCGTAATATATAAGCATCGCAGACTTCTGGTTTGAAATGTGTTTGGGCAACTCATATTTAAAGGGATTCTGGTTCACTAATCTCATTCGTGAACGTAATGAACGATGACACCCATTGAACAAGAAGGAAATTAAGCGTAAACTTAAAAGGACGAATCGTTTCTGAATGGAATTCTGTGGTAATTTCGTCATGTGCGTAGCAGGAACAAACTGATAAAGTTAGTAATTAATTCGAATTAATTGTAATTCAGGGAAAAACCTTTCTCCGCCCGTGTAAGCACGCCGATCTCAGTGTCAGACCTGCCATTATTTCCCAGTGCAATAACATCCGTAACAGGGGCTTAAAGATTTCCATACTAGTCTCAAGGGCTCCCTGTCGATAGTGTCTGCTGCCTTGGCCGATCGTCTTTTAAATCAGCCTCAGCTGCAGCGAAGCCAAACCCACAATAATGCGCTGTCTCTGCCTCCCCTATTCTTTCCGCTGCCTCCCTCGGGTGCGCTTAGTTCATTTGCACACACTGTGCGCGCCTCATCCGAGCGTCATTCGCAGACATGGGATCGCGCAAAAGGCACGTCGTCATCCCGCTCACTTTTGCACTAATTGCCGTTTTGGCCCTATTTCTCCTCACCGTCCCAAGCAAAGATGTGAACGAGCCTCCGGGTTATACGGTGAGGCCGCGACGATTTATTGATTTATTTCGTGATTGTAATGTGAAACGTGCGTACGATGAGTTTGTTTTTCTTGTCAGGCTATTTCTGTTCTTTCGGATGATTAAATATCGCAGATAGAAATTACATAATTACTGCATTAAATGCAAATACATATGCACAATTATAACGTGCATCACTAATCATGTCGGTTTGCGAATTAAAGTCTGTAAATTGTTGTGACAAGTCTGTAATTTGTTCACTTTCTCTTCACTTGAGGTTTATTAGACAGTTAATGCGACCAGGAACCGTAAAATAAAGAGTGAAGTGATTATACCGTATAGATTTAAGGAAGTTACTGTAGTTAAGTAATTCTTCTGTAACGATTTTGGTCTAGTTCCTTGAACAGGTGCGCATGTTTAGTCTTCTGGAGGGGAAATGATGAAGGGCTGGGCTAAATTTAACTCTGCTCCCGTGCCACTCTTTTCGGTTTAAAAACTACCTGATCACCCATCCATCTCCCAACCAGTTCTGCAGCACAAATTAGTGGATAAAAACTTATGTAAGGTGGGGGTAGACATATTTGTGTTACATTGTGGGGATTTTTTTTTTGTCTCCGCAAGGGGCAACTCAATATTCTAAAAATCCGTGAATACAATCAAAAAACTAAAAATAGTATTTTTTATTGTTTGGTTACCTTTAGTTAAGGTTAGGGCTGGGCAGGGGTTAAGGATGTCACAGCTTTATCATAAAGCACGTGAATTGCCATGCGTCTGAATTGTAACAAGCCTTGCCTTCCCATAGAAATGAATGGAGAGTCCGCATAAAGAGACCAAAATATCTTTGTGCGCTAGTTTTATTATTTGGTGTCATTATTATTCTATAGCTCACTGATGCTGGTGGACCTTCACCAGCTCTGCCTTTTGATTTAATCTCTCATTGGCCTATTTTGTGATTTATTTTATTTTATTATTTTTGTGATATTCCACCCGGATGTCTATGGATGGGGTTATGGCTCTTAACACATTTAATTGGCAAATTAGAGGCATTTTATTTATAAATCCCTTGCTCTTGAGTAATTGTGGAATAGAGAACTAGCAACCCACACTGTGATGCTTACACACCGATGTCCATGTGAGTCTAGGCTTGTTTTTGGTAGAAAACTTACTGATGACTATTGTTTGGTACCTGTACTGTGTTTGCAGTGACTAATCCCTCGAGTACTAAAACCTGCAGTGTGGCAGAGGATTGTGACACTCGTGTTGTGCTGTGTTTTGTAGTTAATGGTGTTTCCACAATCACCTTTTTGTGTAAGGGCTCTCACAAATCCCATTGTAGGTTACCACACCTGACTACTACACTATTCCAGTTTTAACTCAGCGTTATGAGTCCCGACACACCGCGTGCGAGTCTGTGGGGTACAGGGAAGCGTCCTTGGGTGACAAAAGCCTCGATACTGTCCAGTGAGCCACTGACCCAGACTGCCGAGTGTAAACCAAGACGCTGAATCAGGATTGCATTTTGCAGTGCTGTGCTGTTTCATAATTCTGTAACCATTAAACTTCACTGCTATGTTTGTCATGCCAACATACAAGGCTGGCTTTTTGGTTTTTATTATCAGAACTATATTGGTTTTGATCTTAGAAATTTGAACAGGTCAACTCACACACATAAATATCACTATGGTATACTGTATGGCTTTAGCACATGCTGGTTCTTAGTCTGAACTTGAATTCTGTCAGGTTTTATCTTTTTCCTTGCCTGTTTCCCTGTGTGGTCATAAAGTTTAAAAAGTGTCACTGGATTAACTCACACATATGAGTTACAGCAGTTTTTAACGAGGTAGTTACAGATCTGGAGTTGTGACCCACAGATGGTTTTAAATCCCAGGAGAGGACCTGCACTCTTCAACTGGACGGATTGCATATCCCACTTTATAAGCAGTAAAATTTTGTTTCTATAACTATTGTAAACTAACAAAAGGTTACTTGTGCTCTCTCCAAACCAGAGCATGTTCAGATCCAGCGATCCACATTACCATTGAACCAGACAAGCTTCACATAGACATTGCAAACACAAGATATTTCTGTAATATTTAGCTTTGCATAAACTAAGTCCCTCCAATTTTATCAATTTTTATTGTCTGTATTTTTTTTTTAAGTGTCCTGTTTGTCATTCTCACCTCTGTGGTCACAACAGGTTGGGGTGTGAGGGGTCAGAATGAGTCATTACTGGATGGAGATGAAAGTTGTTTTTTTTTTGTTTTTTTTGGGGGGGGGGGGGGGGGCTCTGTCTGGAGGATCACTTTCTGGTGGGAGGGGGATATGAGAGTAAGCCAGCCTGGAGGCTCTGGACTTTATCCGTAGTTTTCTATCTTCCTCCCATGAAATCAGTAACATTACTGAAAAGGCTCATTCACTTTACTGTTTTAACACAACATATGCTTGCGATTAATCAAAAGTGGCTTAAATCAGTCCCTAAGAAGGCTCTAGCAGAAAGGACATATTATAAAAAAAGTATAAAAAAAGTAATGTATGACCAAGTAATGAAATCTGCTTTGGTGTTCTCTGTCTCTTCCTTGTGCCTCAGGCCATTGAACTTGCAGGTAAAAGTGTGTTTCCCATTTTTACCGTTACTAGAGGTTGAGAATGTCTGGGAACTCATTTCTGCTTTGGCTGTTGAAACATGTTCTGCCATAGTTTATACAAGCTGGCTAACTGGTTTTCATGCACCGAACTCAAGATTGCTGCAGGACTTTACACTCGCGTCTGCCAGATGTTTTCCTCCAGCGGGAATCAGGCATATAAAGTTCTCATCTGGGGGTGTATGACTAAGTGGGTTAGGACTCTGTGCCTGTGAATGGAAGGTCACTGGTTTCAATCCCACGGCTGGCGGAGTGATGTCACCGTTAGGCCCTTGAGCGAGGCTCTTAACCCGAATTGCTCCAGGGACACTGAGTGACTGCCCCCTGATCCTCACGTGTACGTCCCTTTGGACAAAAGGTTGGGCTACATAAATAACTAACACTCATTTGTTTGTTCTGTTCCATAGCACGAGTCTGGTTCTTTTTCTAAATATTTGCAGATTAAATTTAGCATGGAGCCTCTGTGGTTTGCAGGTACCGTGCGTTTGCTCTGTGTACAGCTGTAGTGTGCACTAATTGCCCCTTTGTGAGGAGTGTAGCTCATTGTAGAACATAGTAACTGTATGTTTCCTCTGTGTGTGGACGACTGTCTCCCTCAGTACGGGATCGTGCTGGACGCTGGCTCTTCCCACACGACCATGTACGTCTACAAGTGGACCGTGGACAAGCAGAACGGCACTGGTGTCGTCACCCAGCATAGCGAGTGCAGCCCCAAGGGTGAGAAACACCGGTGTTTGTGTGTGTGGGTGGAGCGGAGTTATGCTCAGACACCCAGATTGCCCAAAGTCAGCATGACTCAGGCCCCCCTGAGGGTTTCTGCTCAGAGAAACGGGCTCAGGTATGAATCCAACACGCGGATGATGCATGACTCCTCGCAGCTGCTTACCGCTCTGGGTTCTCTCTCTCTCTTTTACTCTTCTCAGGGGATCAATAATTCCTAGGTTCCCCCCTTGCGTTTAGGGCTTTTCTCCAGCCCTATCAGGTTTTTAACTACCTCCTTGTCAGCACGTCCTTTGTGATTCCAGTTTATATACTAGCCTGCTGCACCTCCACAGACATCTAGCACAGCTTTCCCACAGTACTTTTTGTTGACCGCTGCGCTATTCTGTGCCTGCAGGGGGCGGTATCTCCAGCTATGCCTGGCAGCCAGGAGAGGCAGCGCGCAGTTTGGAGGAGTGTCTGGACATGGCCATGAAGGACATTCCCAGGGCCCGGCACCACCTCACTCCCGTGTATCTGGGGGCCACCGCTGGCATGAGGCTTCTCAAGTGAGTGATCACGCACAAAGTGCAATGAGGACTGACCCAACTGGGCCACCGTACTTCCTTTTTGCATTGTGATTTCTGTCAATGAGGATTTAGTGATAAACAATGTAGCACATGTGACTAGAATGAAAAATATTCTGACTGCCAATCCCTAAATGAATTTGTCCTGTAGGCACTGAGTAAGTGCCTATGTTTAGGGCAAAATTACATGTGGGTGTTGTTCTGCAGATACAAAAAGGAAAATAATGATGAAGTAGTACATACAATAACACACCCCACTGGCATACGGAACTTATAATACATGATACCAAGATCCCCAACATTAGAATTCTGCATACTTTTATTTAATATTTATTGCAGTAATATTTAGACTATTTTCAACAGGGTTCTAGGTATACCAAAGTGAGTGTGGTAATGGTACCAACCACATTATAGAGTCAAAATAAAAATGTTTTTACCTATTTCTCTGCCTCCTTATAGAAAACCTTTTTTTCCAGAGACCTCTGCTGTGTACAGCACTGTACTCACTCATGTAGCACTTATGAACCTGCTCATAGAACCTGCTCATAGAACCTGCAGCTCCTGACCTGCAGCTCACTGCTTGCAGGTCTATGTTTCACTAGTTCCGTTCAGTAATGCCGTTTTCTGACGTTTGAACTTGCTTAGCTGCCCTGATTTGTTTTGTTTTATATATAACTGGGCCAGTTCAGGTTGTTCAAAGGCACAACAGCCAGTCCTTTTCATGTGGGTTAGAGCTGGTAGCCATTTGTGTTGCGTGCCCCAACATCGCAGCAGTCAGGCTGCATAGCGGGAGAATGTCGACCACTCCTCTGTAATTTTTCATCGCAGAGACAGTAACAGGAGAGCTTGCAGGTGTCCGCCCCATCCCTTTGTGTCCCAGCTTGAAGCCAGAATGAACATCTGTGAGCCTACTCTGTGCAACTGGGGGGGGGGGGTGTAAGCCCTCCCCAGCTCCTCATTCAACGCCACTTTTTATTTGCATGGAGTATTTGCTGTGTGTTCAGTGCTGAATAAAGCTAATCCAGTTCCTGTTTCACTTTCATAGTTTGCATGCAGTTTAGCTTCAGGCTGGACACCTGGTTCCGCTCAAGCAGTCCAAGAAACGCACCAATTGTCATGTAGGGAATTTGGCTCCGACTGGAAAAATATATATTACAGTATAAAAACGTGGGAAATTTTACCCAGTGCTGTCTTTTATCCGCTCAGTGTTCCCTACAGTGTCTCTGATACCTGTTCTAAACCAGTGTTTGTCAACCCAGTCCTCTGGGACCCCCAGACATTTTTGTTCCCTCCCAGCTCACCTGAACTGAACAATCACAAACTAACCAAACAAAAAAGGAGACTGAATAGCTGGGACAGGTGTGTTGGGAGCTTGGAGGGAGCAAAAACGTGGACTGTCTGGGGATCTTGAGGACTGAGTTGGGGAAACACTGAAGGACAGTTGAATTGGGGTTTCCTGGCTGCTTCCAGTGCCGGTGTAAACAGATCTGTGGTAACTTCCTGTTTCTTCTTCTTTTCTTGGTGTCTGATGTAGAAGTTTGACTTCTCTGCAGATGTTTCATCTCGCCTCCTGTGCTCCAACTTAAAAGAATCTCTCTGCTTTTGTGTCTCTCTGTGCTATGAAACTCGAGGTCTGCCTATCGTGTCGTTACATGTTTAAGGTGGGTGCCGTGTCTCAAACAAACCGAAACAAACAACACGAATCTTTGTGTCCCACAGTATTTCGAACCCCAGCGGCTCGGACAGGATCCTGGGGGAAGTGGCCGAAAAAATCCGCTCCTACCCCTTCGATTTCCAGGAGGCGGTGATCCTGAGTGGCCAGCAGGAGGGCGCGTACGGCTGGGTGACGGTCAACTACCTGATGGAGAAGTTTATCAAGGTGCCTCTCAATCCCGCCGAGAAACGGTCAAGCTGGATCGGCTGTTTCTGAACTATTTTTTGGTCCAAGTAGCAGCTACTCCAGGGAATCTCTGAATGAATAATGAATAAGGGCTGAACTATGGTGAACGTAGCCTGATGTGCAGAGAGTGCTGGCTGCTCTGATGTTCCTCAGATGCTCTTCACAGGCATATTTAGACTTATAATTAATTACATGCTGCCCAAATTCAAATCAATGCATACAGGCCTTACAGAGTATCCTCCCCCCCCAGTATGGGTTTATAGGCCGATGGCAGAGCGCCAACACTGAGACGATCGGGGCACTGGACTTAGGTGGGGCCTCCACCCAGATCACTTTCGTCACACGAGAGGCGGCGGAGGACCCGAGAAATCACATGACGCTGCGTCTCTACGGCCAGGACTACAAGCTGTATACCCACAGCTTCCTGTGCTATGGTCAGGGTCAGATGCTGATCCGACTGACGGCCAGCCTGACGCAGGTAGGTCACCCGCCGGGGGGGGGGGCATCGTATGACATCGAACCACTACCCTGACACTCTCAAACGTTCTGGGTCAAAACCAAGCTGAGTGCCATATTAGCGCCAGACTGACACGCCATATAAGGGCAAGGCTGAAATGGCCCCCGTTGATAGCGTAGGTGGTGCTGCCAACTAGGTTATGGTTGGTAGTGTTGCTTAGTAACCTTTCAAAGCGAGGGAGCCATATAACTGAGGTTTAGCATGCACTGAAAGGCAGGCAGCGAATGGTTACATGCTTCCTGTTGACCTACACCAATCAGATTCTCTCATACAAGAGGGTTTCATAAAAAAAAAACCTACTGAAAACCTACTTAATGGCACAAACGGAATACAAATACATGCCGATGTCTGTGGCTCATGTAAGCCTTGGTTCATGTGATCAGCATCAACCAATCACAGCTCGCTTGAATGCCCCCCCCATCTGAACAACTTCCTGTGTCATGCTGGATTTCCCCCTCTTCTCTCACCCCCCACTTCAGTTTCAGGGTTATAATGGCACCATCGTCCACCCCTGCTACCCCGTGGGCTACAGTGTGACCATGAAGCTGTCAGACGTGTTTGATTCTCCGTGCACGTCAGCCTTCCGGCCCAGTCAGCCCAATCTGGACGTCGCTGTGACGGTGGTGGGGACAGGCCAGTACGAGCTCTGCCTGAGGAACGTGACCCAGCTCTTCACCTTTGACAAGTGTCCTTTCTCCCGCTGCTCGTTTGACGGCACCTTCCAACCCAAAGTCAAGGGAGAGTTTGTGGTAGGCGAGACCCTCAAGTCCCTGAATCCCAGCACCGGTACCTGATAGGCTCACAGCAGGGGGCACAGTGAAGACCCATGAATGTCCCATGAAAACCACGATAGAAATCTTGGCCTTTTTATTTATTTATTTATTTATTTATTTATTTATTTATTTATTGAGATGCATGTTTTTGCATGTCGGATGTGGAAATGCATGTCGGATGTGGAAATGCATGTCGGATGTGGAAATAGTCGCTCTATTTGTAATTGTTCATGGGGCTTGATCATAAAACTTCATCCATTGTTTTAATACAGACTTGGTAACAGTGGCAGTAATGGTGCAAATGACTTCACTGCCATTTGCAGTGGTATTGTCACTGTTACCATTATTTATCTTCTGATAATAGCTTGTAATACCTCATAACAGGCAATGTTTACAATGCCCCCCCTCCACTCTTCCCCAGGCCTTCTCTGCCTTCTACCACGCCCACAGATTCCTGCAGCGCGCCACCGGCATCAAGGTCACGACCCCGAGTCAGATGGACACGGCAGTCCGCACCCTCTGCGCCATGAGTCTCAGCGAGGTAACGCTGCCTGGTCTCCCTCAGTGCGTTCTGAGATGATCGACGGGGCGGACTATGTCGAGCCCCTCCCAGAGCTGCTGTTCTCAATATCGTTTCGGAAGTCGTGGTAGTTGATGGTGTCTCTAGGAATTCAAAATGCTTTTTGGTGTTAAATATGCAGTAGGGATACTACAAATGGTCTACTAATCCATTCTATATATGTTAAGCAAAGGGAAACTATAGTGACATGGAAATAATCATGTAGGTAATTGATTATAATTGATTGTATAGGTAATTGATTATTGTTGACTGCTCTTCCTGTCTGTCTGAATGTCCCACTGGCACAGTTGAAGAGCAAGGCCCCAGATGAGATTAAACGCCTGCATGAGTACTGCCCATCCTCCGCCGTTGTCCAGATCCTTCTGCTGCGTGGTTACAGCTTTGATAACACCTCCTTCTCACAAGTGTCGTTCGAGAGCACGGTGAGCATTAAGGGGGAATCGCTGAGGGAGAAAACCATATATAACCCAGTCCATGCTTAGCATGAATTCTTACACTTGTGACAATTACTGAAAGCATGGCAACGATGACCTTACGGTGCCTCAGCATGGGTAGATATCCGTGTGGCACATGTTGGCTGAGCTGATGATGATGCTGATTCGCGTGTGGCCCTCTGTCGTCCGCTGCAGGCCAGGGGAGCCGCTGTGGGCTGGGCACTGGGCTACATGCTCATCCTCAGCAATATGGTACCAGCTGAGAGCATGAACCTGGTGAAGGCCATCGTCCCTGTAGCCTGGGGCTGCCTGCTCTTCCTCATGATTGCCCTCCTTGTCGTCTCTCTGGGATACCTGCTGGCACAGGCTTTCTGTGAGAAAAAGACCACCGATGATATCCTCTGATGGCCACTGGGTGGCGCCATGGAACCCAAGCGTCTTCCTTCTGGCAAGTCATCAAGAGTGACTTTAAATGTGTCAAACGGGTTTCGTCGTCAGGGAGAGGCACCCAATTTGTCCCCCTACACCCAGCATGGATGAGGGTTCAGAATCAAGTTAGCAGATTGGTCAGTGAAATATTATGCTAGTAAATAACTGAAAGTTAATGATCTGCCTTCTGCTGCACCCAGTCTTTTGAGAGAGAGCAACTTTCACCTGAAAGATTAATCTACATGGTTTTTAAAATTTCATTTTACCCACTTTAAGCGCCGTGTCTGAGATTGGCTACAGTAAATTGTTTAAAAAGGAGGGCGTGAGAGCAATTGCTGATTTATTTTTATTTCTGTCATTTCACTGATAGGTTTTTAGGAACGTGGACATGTTCAATGTCTTTGTGTGAGGAAAAGTTACCAAGCTGTTTTATTCTCCTAAATGATGTCAACTAGTCACTGAGGTTCACAGATACTGTTTAAATTTAGATTTTGTACAGTTTTTAAATAAATGTGATTTGACAATGGGCTCTGTGCGTGGCGTTTTTACGTTCTCCCTATCTGTGTGTGGGTGCGCTCCCGCGTCCTCCCAAGGTCTAAAAATATGAAATGTTAACACTAAAATTCCCACAGTTTTATTGCGTGTGTGTGTGTGTGTGTGTGTGTGTGTGTGTGTGTGGGGTCCAGGTATACCTTACACCAATAAGGTATCTCCTACTCCCTGAGCACAGTGTGAATCGCTCGACAGGTAGTGCTCGAACCAAAAGCGTTTCAGTGGTTTCTGGTGAGGCTGCATGTTCGGTGGTTTCTTTGCCCGGTGAGCCGTGGTATGAGCTGAGCTGTCATCCCTGCTACTGTACTTAGATGGTGGTAAGCCAAGAAGATCAGACCCATGAGGTCAGATGGTCTGCTTTAAAAAAAGACAATGCAAAACAATCATGGCACTTTTTGTCAGGGTGGGCTGAGGAATCTCAGCGCGACGCAGAGACTGTCACTCTGGTATCTGTGCTTTTTCTGTTTATCGCTTCTGTCTGTCTTTGGCTTCTTTTAACGCCTTTTTTGCTTTCTGTTTTCTCAACTGCTGAAACGGCTTTATTTTCGCGTTTCCCTTTGTAATGTGTCTAGCCCTCCTCTGTGCTGCTGTCACACGCTAGGCCTTCTTATCCTTGTCTCATCTTCTGCGTCACATGTTTTTCCTTCCAAGTGAAGATGTTAATCCTTTATGAGTCACCGAGGATATTCCCTCACGTCTTTTTCACAGTCAGGCCTCATTTATGTCAGGGAAGAGCCTCGTCACTCTGGTCCAGGTAGGAATGCAGAGCGATCCGGTTGAGCTGGACCGCAGAAACACGCGATCCGTGTCGGACATGTCACGGTCGTAAAAATGAAAACTCAACCAAAGAATGCGCAGCCTTTCTCAGCAGACCCAAGACATTGGTGTTCCATCCTTAGATGAGCCTTGAATCAGATGTAGAACTTTGGTGTTAACACCCCCAGAATAGGTTCATCCTCAGGTTGCCAATGGCAAACCAGGGACCCCAAAATGATAATAGATGAGAAATAGTATCTCCTAAACACTAATGCATCATAAGCTAGTGTTTCTGAACCTGTTACTCGGGGACCAGCTGCTGGTAGCAAAAATGTGAACTGTCTAACAGAAAGCGGGGAGCAAAAACGTGGACCGTCGGGGGGGTCCTCGGGGTTCAGGCTGAGAAATGCTGATATGAGAAACCAAGAACACAGGAGTGGGGTGATCTTTCTCACACCAAATTTGTGAGGGGGCCATAATGTTTACTTTAATTCTCTAAACGGATGCTGATATCAACATTTCACAAGTTTCACATACAAACCCCCTTCATCTGCTCTGTTGACCCACGGCTGAAATCCCCTGCTCAGCTGAATTCCCCAGCAAGCGCTACTCAAAGAGCACAATGTTTGAAAACTGGATTTTTATTTTATTTAGCCAAATTTCCCCATGCTGTATCAGTGCTGCCGAAGGAGGGCGCCATCACCGATTGATATCTGACACATGTTGAGCAGGACAAAGACTGAACACCTATCTGCTTTACGACCCCTGGCACCTCAAGGACCCGTATAAATTCATCTTAAAGTCCAAGCGTTATCTCTGACGAGCAAAGCAGGGAGAGTCGTTCTCAGCCTCGTGGCACGGGTGTCGCTCTCTGCTTCGCTCTGCTGTGCCGGTATGAGACTCCTGGGGCCACGCCGGGGCCTTGGGGCCCTGTTGGTGGTGTCCACGCTGCACTGGGGTAAGACAACCGCCACTGCCTTCTCCAGCTGCTGTCACCGCTGTGCCAGGCCGCTCCTCTACTGCTCTACAGCACAGGGCAGGCGGCATCTGCGTTACCTTCTGATACGCAGCGTACCGTAGTTAATACTCTTCTTACGATGGCTGCTTTGGTCCTTGGAGGGGGGGGGCAGTTCCCTCACACCTCCAGAGTAGATGTTCTCCACTTGTGCTCAGGCTTACAGGCGTGCAGTTAGACTGAGTGGTGCCTCCCGATTCCCCACAGTGTGTAACTGTGTGCGTTTCCATGCCCTGTGACAGACTGGCATTCTGTATAGGGTGTCCCCCCAGCCCTGTACCCTCCAGGCCACCCTGATTAGGATAAAACCTTGGAAGCTGGATGGAGGAAGGTGCTGGAGGGAGATTGTCTGTAGCCCACGATTAAGCTTGTGTTGCTGCCTTCTGTAAATGTCAGCCCATTGCATCGTGGTGGAGTTGCTGTCATATTGTGCTGTAGGGTGACACACTGTGCAGGGTCTCCATAGACCTGCTACAGGACCCTGCATATCCCAACCATATCCCAAGAGAAGACGACAGGTCACCCTGTGTGTTTCTGTCTGTGTTTCTGACTCTTGTTGGCTCGGGGCCTCATGACATCACCTGCCCACCCAATGGGATTGCGATGACCTCATCATGAGGTCACCTGCAGTGAAGCTTGCCTTGGGCTTTGTCTCTAATCCTAAGATGGTGCCTTAGGTGGTTGACCTGCCCTCTCGTCACTAACAGTCTTACCTGTTAAGGTTTGACATCAAAGGGATTTGGCCCTAGCAACAGTATCACTGAGGAATGAGGGAATGAATCCTTGCAAGATTCTTCACGAGTTGCCAACAGCAGCTGCTGGTTTTAGATATTGGTTTAGATGTTTAGATGTTTACAGGCCACTGTGTCGTTTTGCAGCAACAGGCTTGGTGGGGAGCAGCTGTCAGACGACGCCAGAGCTGCAATGCAACTTCTATTGCAACTGCCTGGACTGCAGCGATGAGCAGAACTGCGGTAAGGGGCCATTCACGCTTGAGTCTTTCTGCCATGGGGCCCATATAAACAATTGTGCAGGAACTTTAAGATAAACAGACCAGAATGCGAATCGTGTTTTCACCGGCTTTTACTTCCCCACCTATTTCTCGCGCACTGTGCAGGCTATGGGGGGCGGGGCTTCATCTGCGATTTCGAGGAGGCGGCGGCCTGCGGTTGGCGGGATGCATCGGAGCCGGGCGTTTATTCCTGGGAAAGGAGACAGCGGGGGGACAGGCTGCCGGAGAGCGGCCCCTCCTCTGACTTCACCGTGGGAACTTCTGCAGGTACCGTATGCCTCACCTAGGACACAGTGTAACTGGCTTCTTTCAGTCTCTCACCTCCCTGGGCTATGGCAAGAGTTCCAGGTATCATCCGGTATTATCGAATAAACTTTCATCCCTGATTGAGTCGAGCCTGTTAAGGTGAGTTAAACAACCCCAAACTTAACCCTGAAAATTAAGTAGACAGCTCCGGACATGTTATTTCCTTTGTGCGAATGCTTGCTGCGGTGTAAAGTTCTGGGTGCCGACTTACAGGCAGGTCACGAGTGGTTTAATCCTCTAGCGGTTCAGGACCTGCCTCATTAAGAGATTACAGCGTGCCGTGTGAACCCGGTTGCAGGTTGGTTCATGGCCGTGTCGGCTGTGGATGGGCAGTCTGCCCCGACGGCCTCGTTGGTGTCCCCGGTGATGAGAAACGCCTCCGCGACGTGCAGGGTGATCCTCCGCTACTACATCTGGGACTCCGGTACTGGCCCGGAACTGTTCTATCGCACACAGAACATGGTTTAACACAGCAGATAAGCACCCAAATGGATGTGCGCTACCCAATATCTAGATGCTAAAGCTGCCCATTAGCACTTTGTGTTTAGACATGACTACTTACCTGGTGCATTAACTGCCTTATGATGAATTAGTTGTCGGTTTGAGTCCCAAGAGAAGTATGGCTGTTGTGGCTTTGAATTCAGTGTTTGGCTCAGCAGGTTAGGACACTGTGGCTATTATTGGAAGGATGTTGATTCAAATCCCAGGGTTGGTAGAGCGATTTCACCAACGGGCCCTGGAGCACGGCCCTTAAACTGAGTTACTGCAGGGACTGGCGGCCCCTTTGTTCTCAGTTAAATGTCAGTTTGGATAAATTTGTCCACTAAATAAACAAAATGTCATGTAAGTATTTTAACCTGTTTGGATTTTGCATAAAAGCATCTGCAAAGCCGCCTGAATCGATCTTCTGTGCCCCCGCTAGGGAATCAGGGGCTGGACAGCTTGGCGCTGTGGGGCACAGTGGTGAGGGAGGGGCGTCCGAATGCCACGGTCTGGCGGCCCGCCGTGACCAGTGTGCGGGGCTGGCGGGAGTCCACTGTCTTCCTGGGCCGCATTCCAGGGCCCTTCCAGCTCCACTTCCGTTCTCAGCGCCGCTGGGGCCTCCGGGGGGACGTGGCCATTGACCAGCTGGAGTTCCAGGACTGCGCCCCGCCCGGTGAGGGGGTGCGGGGGGGTGTGTGTGTGTTTCAACCCAAACAGCAGGACAGGACATTACGTTACACATAGAAGAGCCGTGATCTTCTTTAATCATGTATATTGTAGCATATAGATTATAGTGGAACCTGTACAAATGTGAATATGGGGCTCTCCCTGGGAGGGACCAACCGCTCTGCTCCAATGGCTGCGTCCTTTCACATGCATATTTTTCACATTAAGCCAATAACAAACAAATATGTTAATGAGGGCAGATTGGAGGGCCTCCCACCTGCAGGCTGCAGTTCTTCCCGCAGTCCAGCATTAATTGTAATATTCAGATTAGATGTAGGTGTTGGTTTGGAGGCGATAATCACCTTAAAGCGAAATGCTGTGACAGTGTGTGAGAATGAGCTGCCCCCCCCCCCCCCCCTTGGTGTTCCACAGCACCGGAAAAGGCGTGTGGCGTGAACTCGCTGAGGTGTGGGCCTGTCGGCTGCGTGGAGGCGGCGCAGGTGTGCGACGGCACCGACGACTGTGGCGATGGCAGCGACGAGGCCAACTGTGGTGAGGGGGGCTGCTGGGGGCTTTGTGACAACAAACAATCAAACTAAGAAACAGATTCTGGAACCGGCGTATATGGTTCTGGTGAATAGGGAGGAACTGATGTGTTGAATTGAAACTCCATCCATCTATCCATCTAAATATCTATCTATCTATCTATCTATCTATCTATCTATCTATCTAATCTATCTAATCTATCTAATCTATCTAATCTATCTATCTATAAACTTTATTTACTGTGTTACAGTAAAACATGATATAACCTGGTCTGTAGGAACCAGTTACCCAGTAAAATGGAACCTTGCTGTCCAGTTGCTCCACCGTTCTTGTGATGAAATGTTGTGCCTTGTCTCTAATTTAATAGATGGACACTGGAGATGCGACTTTGAGCTGGACTTATGCAACTGGGCGGACCTGCGAACATTGTCCACCCTTAAATTCCAGAGGACCAGTCAGCTGGAGCTCTCGGAGCCCAATAACCCAAAGGCTGGACCAGGCCGAGACCACACCACAAACTCGGAGACGGGTATGAGGGCTCCTCACCTGTTCCCGCATGGCCTACAAGCAGTTGATCATGCTAATGATACATGAATAGCTTTGATTTGATTAACTGTTCTTTGCTGGTATCTTACCAGGTCACTTCCTGTATCTCAGTAAACCGGCCAATGGAGAGCCGCTGAAGGCTGATTGGTCATCCTTTCAAAGTCCTGTTTTTGAACCAACAAATTCCACTCATCCATGCCGGGTAGGAAGCTGTTAACTTCTGAACAACTGCAGGTCTAATTTTCTAACAATATATAAGATGCAGGTAATCGGAAAAATATTAATTGATTGTTCTAGAAAACCTGTATCAGCTTCTTAGGAAGTTCGTGTATCAGCTGTTATGGCCAGAAGACCAGTACCTTTCTTTTTGGTCCTACAGCTCCCATAATGCATCTGTCTCCCCACAGATGACCCTGTACACCCACCAGTTTGGCCCCAGATCTGGGGGCCTGTCGATTCTGGTGGTGACCAGTGGGGCCATGTACCCCGTGTGGGAGCGAGGAGGGGAGCTGGGAGATGTGTGGGTGAAGGCAGAGGTGGAGTTTGTCACGAACAGCAGCTTCCAGGTAAACTGTGGGTAAAAGGAGAGGGGGGGTGTGGACATCGCTGAGTCAAGTGTCCCACTGCAGTACTGAAGGTCTCAGTCCTCATGCGGTACTGAAGGTCTCAGTCCTCATGCGGTACTGAAGGTCTCAGTCCTCATGCGGTACTGAAGGTCTCAGTCCTCATGCCTGTGAACTACATCTATTTGCACTTTAGTATCTTTGTTTTCACGGCGTGGTGGTGCAGTGGTTGGCGCTGTCGCCTCACACCTCTGGGACTGGCATTTGAGTCTCCGCCACGTCTCCTTATGTGTGGAGTTTGCATGTTCTCCCTGTGCTGTCCATAAATTGCCCATAGGTATGACTGCTTGTGCCCTGCGATGGGTTGGCGCCCCATCCTGGGTTGTTCCCTGCCTTGTGCTCATGGGATCCAGACCCCCCATGACCTCAAATAGGACAAACAGGTACAGAAGATGGATAGATGTTTTTTTTCCACCAGATCTTGTTTGTTGGAGCAATTAGGGATAACGACTATGGAGGCATCGCTATAGATGACATCATCATGTCCCCAGACTGCCGCAGAGTCAATGGTGAATGACTCTTGCTACTAAGGATGAGACCTTTTATCTTTTAATCCAGATTTTGATTCCCCCTGAGCCCTGCTCTCCCCTGGTCGCCCTTCTCCAGAGTCATCTCCAAGTGTTGGCCACCCCGACCCTCCGAAACACCCCTGTACCCAGAGCAGCAAGCTGTGTGACTTTAGGAGTGACTGTGACAGCGCGGAGGATGAAAGCAGCTGTGGTCAGTCTGTCTGTTTGCGTGTTTGTGTGTGTGTGTGTGTGTGCGCGCTTATAATTATTACATTGTAGGGGCCAGATTTCCCTACAATGTGATAAAAACCTGTAACTTTTCTACCTTGTGGGGGGCAGTTTTTTGTCCCCCGAATGACACCCTTAATATTAAAAAAAAAATCTGTGACTGAAAAAAAAATAACTAAAAATGCAAAAAGACTTTTATTTTGTTAGGCTACTTATGGTTAAAGTTCGAGCTGGGTAGGAGTTAGGGTTGTCATTGTTTTTCCCATATAAATGAATGGAGAATCCCCATAAAGATATTGAATTGATATTCAATAATATTGATTTTCTATAATGCAGCTGTGAAATATTTCTTGAACATGCACACATGGTTTTGGTTAAATATAATATATAAAATATAAAATCATCACCATCATGCTGTTTCCACAGGAGACTTCTCCTTTCCTGATGGGAGCAAAGGCTGGACTGATGCCAGTTTGGGGGGACAGGGCTGGGCGCTATATCAGAAACACAATGGAAGCTTTATGGGTAATGTTGTGTTAAGAAATCTGCTATGTGCACTTGTGTGTGTGTGTGTGGGAGGAACAGCCATGCCCATGTTCCCCTGTAACTGTCTGCACTTTACCTCTCTCCGCAGTAGAGTACCTCTACGTGACGGAGGCCCCAGGCCAGCAGCTCACGGCTGCCCAGGCCCGCACTCCTGCCCTGGGGCCATCGGGGGCTGCCTGCAGACTCCGCTGGTCATACAGCCTGACTGATATGGGTGCTGTGTCCCTGTCCCTCTAGATTCTCAGTAACTAATCAAATTCCCTTCTTTTCTCAGACTGCTACATAAACTTCCTCAACCTGTTACTTGGACTCCCTTAGTGTGTTACAGAGACTCCATGTTACTCAGACTCCCTCAGTATGATACCCAGACGCCATGTTACTCAGACTCCCTCAGTCTGATACTCAGACCCCATGTTACTCAGACTCCCTCAGTCTAATACTCAGACTCCCTCAGTCTGATACTCAGACCCCATGTTACTCAGACTCCCTCAGTCTAATACTCAGACTCCCTCAGTCTGATTCTCAGACCCCATGTTACTCAGACTCCCTCAATCTGTTACTTAGACTATCTCAGTCCGTTACACAGACCCCATATTACTTAGACTCCTTCAGTCCGATACCCCATGCGTAATGCTTCCTTTCATTTGTCCCCATTCTATCTCACTCTTTCTCTCTCATCTCCCCCTACAGGTGAGTTGTCACTCAGCATGATAGACAAGGTGCAGGGTACACAGGCCCAGCTGTGGAAATTCATAGGAATGACAGATGAAGCCCCGGGCGGCTGGGTGGAGGGGGAGATCTACGTTGGAGCTCGGGACCACCGCTTCCAGGTGCAGCATTAGCAGGGCCTGTGTTTCGGTTCGTTAAGGTTCTGAGAGCATCCAATCCTCCATGCCCCCCTCGCCCTCATACAAATACGTCTCACTTCCCTTCACCATACCTTAGCTGGAACTGGGAGGTCTTGCTAGGAACATCCACAACAGCACCAGGATAGCAGTGAAGGATGTGCAATATGTGGATTGTCACCCAGAATACTTTCCAGCCACCAACAGCGGTGAGTTAGTGGATGATTATCTTACTCATGTACTCGAACCCTGTCACCCCACAACCTTGAAATTACTGCTGCAGATGCATGAATCCAAGCAAAGCTTTTATTAGCCCCCTGGCTGAGGATTCGGCTCCTTAGGTCACAGAGGAACCCCATACTACCCCAGCTCCTTAGGTCACAGAGGAACCCCATACTAACCCAGCTCCTTAGGTCACAGAGGAACCCCATACTAACCCAGCTCCTTAGGTCACAGAGGAACCCCATACTAAGGTCATTGCTCTGGAAAGTCGTCTGCCAAAGGCCGTTGTTCTTCTCTACCTCATTTTGGTGCTTTGATAACATTTGCACAAGTACTTGTCTTTCCTGTTTTTTAATCTGTGCAGACCTGTCTTGTAATTTTGAGGAGAACCTTTGTGGGTGGTACCAGGACCAGATGGACAACTTTGATTGGACCCTCCTCTCTGGGATGGACCACACCATTGGAATTGGTAAAACAATGCAAATCATTCCTTAGGTTAATATGTAGATCAGCCAGTTGGATTAATGGGTGTCTTGCATTCGTTGGAAAGGGTGGGGTGATGAATGATGGCCAATAAATGATATCTGTCACTGCAGGGAGAAGTCTGGTTGTCGATGTGTGGAACTCCACCCTGCGGGGACTGTCAGCTCGCCTTCTTTCGCTCCCCCAGCTATACACCTCCACAGAATTCTGTGTCTCCTTCTACTACAAGCTATACGGCCCTCAAACAGGTGGGACCATATATGTATAGACCAAAGGCTAAACAAGAAGCATTGCAACAATGTTCCTGTCTAGTTCATGCGTATCATGGTTACCCTTTTGTGGTGGTGGACATACTGACAGGACATTCTCATTCACTTAAACGCTGTGTTTTTGGAAGCCGCAGAAAACTGGAACTTAAATAATAAAAGAATGTGCTTGAAATTTAAATTGTTAGCTGGGACATGATTCATTACCTCATAATAGCATTTCATTCATTTCCTGTTGGAAATCAGTGTTTCCCAACCTTGTCCTCGCGGACCCCCAGAGAGTCCACATTTTGGGGCTGGGAGGGGGGAAAAAGATGGACTATCTGGGTGTCCCTGAACACCGGGTTGGGAAACACTGTTCGAAATTATACAACCCATCCAAAGACAATTTTAGTATCCTACTGTATTTTACTGTCTTATTAAACAAAATACTGGCACCAAACTTTTAACTGGATCGTTGTCAGTCTCTGACGTCAATTATTTCTGTACCCTCCCATAATCTACCTTTGGTCTGATCTTCACTACCTGTGTACATATTGTATAATTTATTAGGGTTATAAATGCATTGAGATGGGTTGCCTTATCTCCCCCCATTTTTTAGATATGCACCCAGTGCTGACAGTGTGAGACTGGATGTGGGGCACGAGCTTGGCAGTATCAACGTGGAATTTATGGCCAGGGCTGTCATTCTCTTCCAGGCACTCTGAACGTGAGGGTTCGCTATCCTGATGGCTCTGAGGTCCTCCACTGGACGAGCAGTGGTTCCCAAGGCAACAGCTGGCATCAAGGCCTATGCCCGATCCCTCAGCAGAACACTGGCTTCCAGGTGCCACCACTGCACTGCATCATTAATCCTCCCTCTAACATTCTTTGGTACTGGAAGCGATTGTGTATAAATCTATATATCTATATCTCCCTTTGATTCAGATTCTAGAACATCACTCCCATTCCATGAAATTGTAGAATATCTTCATGTGGCCATTTGAATTCCCCAGCTGGTGTTTGAGGCTCTGCGCTCCGGGTTCGATGGGAGAATAGCGATCGACGACGTGGCAGTGATGAATCGTCCTTGCACGACCCCATCCAGATGCTCCTTTGAAGGCAGCATGTGCGGCTACACATCCGTCGGTGCTGCCCACTGGGTCCAGCAAAACGGGGCCTACGGAGGGGTGCAGCCTGCACCTACCACTGATCATAGCCTAGAGACCGGAAAAGGTCAGAACACGTTCTATTGTTCATCCTTTGGGTCACATAAAGTCCGTTTTGATTCCCAGTGACTGATTGGAGCAGGATTATTACCGTTAGGTAAAAAAACATTCTATGTATTCTATGCAAACAGCATTGTCTTAGTAGAGCCAAAACACGCATAGGGAAGCAGTAACTAAAATACAAATCCACATCCCTCACATCTCCTACAGTCCATCTCAGTATGTTATCTCCCTCATCCTGTCTCCTAGGTTACTACATGATTGCGGACACTAGCCGGGAAGTCCTTCGCTTGGGGGACGTGACGCTGCTCACCTCTCCAGTGCGAAATAGTGCCCCCTTTCCCGAGTGTGTTGAATTCTGGTATTACATGAATGGAGACCGACCAGGTAAAGGTTAAGGATGAGCTAGTCTTATGCAGAGTCGTCTGTCTGTTGCTGGAACCGTGACATGAATTTCTTCACTGAGAGTGTGTAAGTGTGTGAGCTGCATTTGTGTCCTTGTGATTCCCTTCCTTAGTGTCATGCGTACTCATCAGAGCTGGAAGTAGGGGCACTTATGGTGCTTCAGCACCCCCCTCTGGTTATTGGTGGTAATGCAGCGTGCCCACGCCTATAGCTTAAACCAAACAAAAAAGCAGCTTTTGTTTTCATGCTTATTATTTGTTGCTAGCAGTTTTTAGCTACCTGTGATACAGAAACTTTATTGGTCATTCTGCCTATCAGCACCTTCCACTCCTGTGCTCTGAAACGCTGCTCTGACACACTGTTCCGACACGCTGCTCTGACACGCTGCTCCGACACGCTGCTCTGACACGCTGCTCTGACACACTGCTCCGACACACTGCTCTGACACGCTGCTTCGACACGCTGCTCCGGCACGCTGTTCCGACACGCTGCTCCGACACGCTGCTCCGACACGCTGCTCCGACACGCTGCTCCGACACGCTGCTCTGACACGCTGGCCTTTCACTGTGTGGCCACATGGTGTGCATTTGCACGACAGGCATCCTGAGCATCTATATGAAGCCACTTGACGGGGATCTAGTGAAGGTGTTCTCTCAGAACGTGAGTCCGGGAGACGTCTGGCGTCGTGGCAACTGCAGCATCAGCAGCACTGGACCCTGGCAGGTGCTTATTCAAAATGGGGACCCAGAAGGGGCAGATGTCCCTGATGCCGCCATGCAGTACAGTTTAAATGCTAACCAATAGGAAACGTTGTGCCCTCTTTAGCTGGTGATGGAAGCGAAGGGAGCAGGCGGTGCAGAGGCTCGCATTGCTGTCGATGACATCAGCTTCACTCCTTATGGCTGCCCCAGTCCAGGTCTGGTTTGGGCGGCTGGGGCACGTCTAGAGCAGTCTCATTTGGTTAGCATGAAATCCAGCTAATATGGAATCGACCTGTTTCTCTCATTGACTTCGGTACCAGAGCAAAGCTAGTCGAGAACCAGCGTATTTAATCATATACACCAGTTTTATATGAGGCCAGAGGGTTTGGCATCACCAGGTGTGGTTAGGGGCACAACCCTGAAACCAAAAAGAGCTCTGCTTCTTTCAAAAAAGCCCCCCATGCGTGCAAGTCTGTTTGATGTATTCAGTCCTCACTTTTCCTTATAAACATATGTAATTACGCAACATCAAAACAAGTGACAACTGACGTGTTTATACCTGAATAACTTTAGGTGAACTACATTTATCTCGTATGTTTACCAGCATGTTTACCATAAGTGACTTTTTGCAGAAATAAATGAATACTGAGTCATTCATGAAAAACAAGTAAGTTTTATAGTTTTCCTGTACTATGTGCAGACTAACTCTGTGTGTGTGTGTGTGTGTGTGGGGGGGATCACAGATGCAAAGTGTAATCTGGAGAATGGTCTTTGTGGCTGGGCCAACACTGAGAACCCAGCCCTGGACCTTCTGGACTGGGAGCTGAGCAGCTCTGCCGCAGAGACCCAGTATTCCACCCCGCCCTATGACCATTCGCTGGAGACAGAGCGAGGTGACCATCTGCCTCGCCTTCTGTGCTTTCCGGAATGTGCAAAGCAACTGTAATGATTACACATGCAGGACATAACTGGAGGGAATTCTGAGCTATTTGTAAATCGTATACAAGTCCATGCTTATTTTTATTATTCACTGGCATTGATGTCATTTTATGTGTATTCTAGGCAAAATTAAAGTCCTTGTCCTCTTGATTGTCATAACAGATAATTCCAGTCTATTACATGACTTATAACGGCAGTTTGGTTTATTCTCTTATTTATGCCATTGTGTCTCCACAGGTCACTTCCTGTTCCTTCCCAGCAGCCCCCGGGGCACTGCGGGCCAGAACGCCTCGCTGCTCAGCCCTCACCTGCCCCCAGCCTCAGCCAACTGCCTGCGCTTTTGGGTGCACCGGCCCTCCTCCAGTAAGACTAACCATTCCTTTCCATTGTTCATCTCCTTCCTACAAAAGGACAGAATGACAAAAATGACAAACAGGCGCCCCTTCACATTCACAAGGGTCACGGGTGGAAGATCCTCACAAATGGTGAAGATTCACAAAGAACCCCCTAACCTTTACCCATAACAGTCTGCTAGCCTGACCGTTAACATAAAAAGTTTATTAATTACTCATTTCTAAACAAACAGTACCACACTCGCAGACTTTCCACTAGGAAGCATATCTAACAATTCCATCTTTTGTGTCAGAAGTTTTCTTCTTTTTAGGAACACTTTCAAAAGCACTGGGAGCCCTATGTTTGGAACCTGGTGTTAAAAATGCAAAAAGTCACAGAGATGGCTAAAGCATGAGCGAGGCTGGTTGCTGAGACACAGACATGCGCGTCCCCAAGCTGAAATGCATAGTTCCCACAGTTCTGACCCAAATCATTTTCACTTTTGCTTTTGGCTTGTGCATCATGTGCGAGTTCCTGCAGTCCTTTAGCAAGCTCCAAAAACATTCCCATTTAATTTTTCACGGTCAGCTAACATAACTGAAACCACCACTGTCAAATTCACTAATCTGGAAGGATAACTGTTCAACCCTGTACATTTAGCCACTGCTAACTGTTCAAATTACATGCTTGCAAAGTCAACAATACACCTGCTAATAAAAAGCATGACTGCTAATGCGAAAGTTCATCAGGTGATGCCGAGCTTCACGCGTGGAGCTAGTCTGAGGGCCAATTCACAGTAGGATATTCACAGTTTGCAATTGGCCTGCTACCCGTACAATTTCTATACTTGCTAAATTGATGATATACTCGCTTCGCTAATGCTTACTCTATAATGCTAACTGAAAAACATGATCACTAATGTTAACGACCGTCTCGTGATGTCAAGTTTTTTGTGTGGTGGTGGTCTGGGATCCAGTTCACAGTAAGATATTCACTCGTCACAACAGGCCTGCCAGCTGTATGAGTTGCATGTTTGCTAAAGTGATGATACTAATGCTAACGCTAACTTAAAGGCTGGACTGCTAATGCCAACTCAAAAACATGTCCGCTAATGCTAACGCTAACTTAAAGGCTGGACTGCTAATGCTAATGCCAACTCAAAAGCATGTCCGCTAATGCTAACGCTAACTTAAAGGCTGGACTGCTAATGCTAACGCTCATCAGGCGACGCCGAGCTCCATGTGTGGAGGCGGACTGGGGGCCTGTTCATCAAGCTGCTGACCGTGGGTGAAGTTGGTGAGACTTGGAGGCGCTGTGACATAAACATCTCCTCCACAGTGGAATTCCAGGTGAGTAACCCCTTCAAACAGACTGCCGTCCATCAGATGGTAAGATGGTAACTAGGTCATAAAGTGGATTACCTGTATCACCAGATTGTGTTTGAGGGGATCAGCGGCACCAATGGTGTCGTGGCCCTAGACGATATCGAGTACCACGTGGGTGTCGACTGCAATGGCCAAAAGAAGGACTCACAAGGTGAGAGTACCACTAAGACTGGCTGGATTCATCAGTATCTGTCTGCAGACTATTGAAGCCACTTACCTATTTTCTATTTTTACTTCTCTTTAATGGCTTTGTTTAAGGGTAGTAAGGGTATTTTTCAGTGGAGATCACTGGTTTTATTAACTGTTCACAGTGACATTACGTTTTTGTTTTTATTGCATTAATTTAATCCAATGTTTTTAAACATGCACCGCCTGTAAGTTACTCTGGGTAGTAACGTTCACATTGGCTGCTTAGTTACTTCTCTTATCGGCACAGGTTTCACTCAGTTATACAGCCGGTTATCAGTCAGGTGAAGTACTAAAGCCGTTGGGTCACTAGTCCAGGTTTTGAACCAATGTCATATTTGTGAACCCCCCCCCCCCCCCCCCGAACAGCTTCCCACGACCTTGAAAAGCAGGGGCCCATCGTGGCATCGGTGCTCCTTCTGCTGCTGTTCGTGGCCCTTGGCACTGGGACGGTGGTTTACCTGCAAAAGAAGGGGATGCTGAGTGGAGCTACCATGGAGAGGAATGAGGCGAACTTCACCAACGTGCTGTATGAGGTGACGGAGGATGTGAGTACAGAAACTCCTCTACCTACGAACTTTCAACTTACGAACTTTCAGACATACAAACGAAGAGGACGGTAAGTTCAAATTGTATTCGTTGGGCTCCCGATTCCTGTCTGCAACATCGATTTTTTTTCTGCGCACCAGTTCCGCCTAGTACGACTTCAGACCGCTACTCCCACCACGCAGCCGTGTAGCGTGTAGCGTGTAGCGCGCGGACTCCCAGTATCCTAGTTCTTTGCAGCGTGTGGCTCGGTGGACCAAGCCTGTGTGCTTGTAATCAGAAGGCCACCAGTTCAAACCCAGCCTCAGCACGTCTGTGGGTCCTTGAGCAAGGCCCTTAACCCCCAGCTCCCTGGGTGTCGCTACAGGTGGCTGCCCTTCGCGGAGAACTTGCTCTACAAAGAGCAAGCTGAGGGAGGCGTAAAGACAATTTCCCCATAGGGATATAGTATCAATTATTATTATTATACTCTTAAAATGATGTTGAATAATGACTTACGGACATTTCAAGTTATGAACGGCCGTTGGGAACGTAACTCGTTCGTAAGTAGGGGAGCATCTGTACTCAGTGCTCGGCACCGGACTGGGCAGCACGGCTCAGCCACAACAGGAAGACATTGGTGCCTTTCAGTGTAGGCCCATGTGCCATACTTGTCAAAGTGGCCTACTAGTGAAACATCCCAGAAATGTCACATGACTTTCCCCCATAGACAGTTCAATTTCTTGTTATACTTAGCAAACCTAGACAGGATATTTGCTTTGTGGTTATGCTTTTGTTCTGTTTGAAAACTGTTCCAACAGAAATCAATATTAAAACACGTCGGTACACACATAATTACGGTTGATTATGCTTGCAAGATTTGCACTTTTTGTAAGTTTTGAAAAATGCTTTTCATTCTTTTCATCCAGGGTCCAGCAGTCCGCATGCAAACATAAATGAAACAAGGCCTCCTTCTGGTAGCACCTCCATTTAATGGCAACATCACAGGAGAACTGCTGGTCAGATTCCATGCAGTCCTATCCACATACCCACAGACTCACACTACAGCTAGAGACGTCTCTTCTCTACCAGAGACAAACTACAAGATGTTTATGAGATATTCTCCGTGCAATGGGGTCAAGATGCGAACACCATCACAGACAGACATCATCCTGCCATTATCATCCTACACCAGACCAGGTGGATCTCTGTGGTGGTCCTGGATGGATCCCTCACCCTGGAGGGCGCCCCTCAGTGGCCTGTCCTGGTATCTAAAGAAGGATTTTTATCAATGTGTCTCTGTCAAGATAAACAACATAAACAACATAAACTCTGTCACCAGTTACTCTCCTCTCCATGTTCTTGCTATTTCCAGTCACAGGATAATTGTAGATCGCTCATGGATTATGCAGTCTGTCTGATTGTGGACATAATTTATTGAGTATATAGATACTTTGGGGCCTTCTTGTCAGGATTCGAACCTGCGACTTTCCAAAAATGTAATTTCAGTATGTATTTTGTTTCTGATTTGGTGACTTTTTAAATCCACATGAGAACAGAATGGCAGCGAATAGAAATTCTCTTACTAGCCAATCACATTGGCCCATCACTTAATAGCCAATCAGGTAGGCCTTACTAACCAATCATGTGAGAAACAGAGGCAGCTGGAAAGAGATTAGCACTTGTCAGTGGAGGATATGCTTAATTAATTCACCTGCAAAAAATGTGAACAGGTGTGGTTTGAATGCAGATGGAGGGACAACAGCATCTGTGTTTTTGTTAGTGTGTCACGCGTTGACTTTATTAAATGAACAATTTAAATTATTAAATGAAGACTGCTACTGTTGACTTGTGTAGATTCATGTGTAGCTTGTCATGTTGTACTGTGAGAATGAGGGACCAGGCTGGGCTAATACCCATTAAACTGCTTCGAGGTTTGGAGGTTTTTGCACTTCTGTCTTGGAAAAAAGTGAATCAATCCATTCAGGATTGTGTGGGCAGTTTTGACAAATGATGACAAATGAACCATTGAGAAGCGAACCCCCACACAAACACACACACACACACACACTGACACGGGTAACTAGATAAAATCATATTTTAAAAAATCATATGAGCCACTTATGTGAATCCAAAAAAAACACCAGCTTTCAGACAACACCTTGTACTTCTTGACCCCCCCCCCCTCAACATGTCAGACATCATTCAGAGAACGTGACAAAAGCCGCGGTAATATGGGCGATGACGTCGCATCTCCTTTTACCTATTGCCTGTTTTTTGAGCCTACTTTGAAATGGCTTAAAAGCTCTTTGAACACACGTATGCACATAGATAAAGGGGGGGGGGTGTGGCTGCTGGGGGCTGATGTATCTCAGCTGCGGCTCTCTGCCGGGATCTCGTCACAAAGGCGGCTGTCTATGAGAGTTTCTTTGTTACACGTCCCGGTGAGGTGAGCAGTTCTGGGGCCGCTTTCGCTCCGTGGACTCGGTCCTTTTTAAGCCCGACACACCTTCTGCTCGCAGCTTCTGCTGGCACTTCGCAGGTACCACAAAGCCCAGCTCTTGGGCGCATGTTGTGATCCAATTCATAGTTATACACACTATTGCTTTGTTTTGCATTTTGCTTTATTTCTTAAAGTAAGAAATCAACTCTCACGTGTCCTCCACGATAAAATATGGTTGAAATAATTTCAATGAAATACGCGAAACCCCCCCTAGCAACAGTGTCACCACGGTAACATCCTCTGTTTTTTAAGATCACTGGTTCATCATCCCACTCGTGTGTTTAACGATTCTTACCGGCAATAGCATTTGGCTCGTCTGCTCGTAATCATCTTCAAAAACAGACAATGGCTGGATATTTGTAAACATTTATCCGTAAACCTGATTTTGCATAAAACGTATAGCATTTTTCATCACAATACTGCCGCAGATTGAGGCTACGGCAGGGGGAGGGGTGATCGGGAACATAGGGGGCTGGGCGCGATGCCCTGAGTGTACCCGGGAGAAAGAGAGAGCCGCCGATCTGCGGGGAAATGTTAACGGGACGCGTCCGGAGACTGTAAATAAGCAACCAGATGCGACTCACCGCAATGTTTTTTTAATTTTCAAAAATCATTTCCCCCTACGGTCACTCACTTGTCAGCCCCACTGTCCAGCTACTAGATGACTGCGCACCCAGTCAGTGATCGCAGGATGGAGCCCGCGGTACTTATTTTCTTGCTCTATGTGATGATAGCCCATGAGCTGGTGTGTGGATGGATGGATTATCGGAAACAGGCAGCCAAGCCCCGGACACATTCCCGGCAGATGTGGAGCTCCAGGTGAGGGCAGACCGATAATCGGGGCGTCCTGACCATGACATTATACAGTGCGTATGTGTGACAGATATAAGGAGATCGAGTATGGTGTGTGTGTGTGTGTGTGTGTGTGTGTGTGTGTGTGTGTGTGTGTGTGTGCCGGGGGGGAGGGGGAGTAGATAGTGGTTATGTTTTTAAATGTTAGTGGTAAATGTTGGTATGTTGTGAATGTTAATCAGACTCTATAAGTATTATGAACAATTGTTTAAATGAATAAATATTGTATTCAATTATGTAAATTAAATGGAAACAATGTAACAATATGAACAGAATCGTGAAACCAAAATTGATATGACATTATGTGAATTGCTGGAAACAGAATAACCTCAGTGTTGTTCTGCTTTTGTTCCAAAACACAGCATGATCAGGTTGTTTTATATGGCGCATCTCATTAACCTGTGACCTTTGTTGACCACGCCCCTTCGGCATTGCAGCCCCCGTTCCTGTCAGCGGCCCTCCCGTGTCGCCTGCCAGCCCGTGAGGTCCGAAAGGGAGGCTGACTGGAGGAAGAGAGGCAGAATCGTACGGAAGGCTTGAGAAGGGACAGACAGGCAGACGGATGGACATTTTGCCCACTACGGTTGTTTTTCTGTGACTGTTTACATTTTTGTGCATTATTTATTGCCCTGTGTAATCACCTCTTGTTGTTCCATTATTTGACTTGTATGCCTGTGGGTTCAGCATATGGTGCAGATATTATTTTTGTCATGACAATAAAGCAACTTGAGCTCATCTGAGAGGGAGTGTGTGCTGTCATGGCAGCAGATGTGTACTGCGCTCTCCAGCCCTCAGCCAAATTAACCATCTTCTCTGCTGGTACACAGGCTTACAAGCAGGTCTTCACATACTGAGCTGAAAGATGTCACAGAAACTGCAGTTAAGCTCAGCAAATCCCAGATGAGGAGCTGAGAGCCCCTTGCTGAGTATTATATGCTTATTTGTAAATTACTACAAACAACAGGGCAGAAATTCAGCAACAGGTCAAGGTTTTAACTGTGGACTTGCAGATGGCTAAGACGGTGTTTTTACACCTACCGGTTTGGGGGGGGTGGGGGGGGGGTAGCTTACCTTGCGTGTCTGGATCCGTCATACCATAAAGTGTCCCTGCTAAGCATCTATATGTCATCGTGTGTGTGTAAATGTGTGTGAGTACTAGAATCGTGTCATAGTGGATCCTTTCTTGGGGATACCAGGCCAGATTTAAACCACAGACCAAACTAGCTGCTGCATTTGTTTGATTAGTACGCTTTAAATTCATATTTGTATATAACAATACAACTAAATACTGTGAAGGTATCTAGTTTAATATTAGTTTCTGTAGTACTTTTAAAAATAAACATACTGTATAGAAACTGATACAACCTAATAAAAGTGTTATAAGAGAAAACTTTCATAGATCAAATTTTACTAAGTATTAATAGCAAAATTCTGTAAAGTTCTGTAAGCATCGTTGATAGGATACTGGCAGTGCTAAGGAATGTAAGCAAGTCTAAGTGGGATAGGTTGGTGGTCCAGGATGTACCTGCTCTATGGTTCTCAGGATACTCTCAGATCTGCCCTAAACTAGGAAAGCTGTTGCTGAAAAAAGATGAATCGAAAAATGAATGTAAGTGTTACGAAATGGATAAACAGATGCTTAAACAGATGATAAACGGCGTCGGAAGGAGTTTGATTTGGGAGGGGGGGACAAATTTACCCTGGCTGGGGGGGGTTGTCATATAATAAGGAATTCATCATTTTTAGACATACATCCATGTCACGCCACTCTTTCACATAGGGCCTTGGTGGGCGGGGGGAGCTGTGCAGGTCCTGGGTCGGCTGCTTCGGCTGCCCGCAGCTGGACTGCGCAGCTCCCTTCCCCATTATTTTAACTCCACTTTAGACACTTAGGCCTTGGGGGGGCCGGTGGGTGTCTTTTCCCCATATGTTCCCCAGGGGCGAAGGGTGCCTGGTGGCTCTCAGGGCGTCCCCCTGGTCCCCCTGGTGGGGGTTCTTGGGGGGGTGCAGGTCTCCCCGGGGCTGGCGGGGCCCCCGCGGCGCGTGGGTGGGCCGGGCTCCGGGCTCTATCCGTTCCTGCGCGGCCAGCCCCCGGGGGGGAACCGGCGCGCTGCTGCCTGTGGCCATGGGGCTCCTGGCTCGTGCTCGCCGGTGGGGGGCGCCCGATGCCTCCCCCCTCTGCCTCCTTGAGTGGACGCGCAGCTCTCTGGTGGTGGGGGGCCCGGGTGCCTGGCTGCTGTGGGGCGGCTGGGTCCATGATCGCTCGGGGCTCTCCTGGCCGTCTGGGGGCCCCGGGGCGGCGTGGTTGTGGCCTCGCACACTCATTGGGAATCACTCCATGTTAACCTGCACACTCATACATACACTCACAGCACACAAACATACACACATGCGCACACACACACACACATACACACACACACACACACACACACACACACACACGCACACACACACGCACATACAAGATAGCCCAGGGCTTTCTTGCCCTATTTTATCCCTCTCTCTCCTTCTTGTCTGGGTGTGTGTGGCTTCCATTCTTTCTTCTCAGATGCAGATGCTGGTGCGGCGATATCCAGACCGTGTTCCTGTTGGTCTGCTTATGTATTTTTCTCTTTGGTATTAATGTATTTAATTCCAGAAGCAGATACTGGCACAAGCTTATTCTCTGTCATAATGGTACCATTGGTTTCTTTGTATACTTCTTATGCATCTGGATCTTGTTTTTCAGATGCAGCAGCTGGTGTGATGACACAGTGTCCAGTACTAAGATGCAGAAGCTTCCTTTTGTTACTCTTTCCCTTTGCTCTACTTTTTCTTAAGTTGTCAACTATTATTTTTCTTTCCCTGTCTTTCTCTCTCTATCTGACTCCCCCTTTATTTCTTCTTTCTTCTGTCTCTCTTCTCGTTCTCTCTTTTTCCCTCTCCTCTTTCTCTCCCTCCTCTCTTCCTCTCTTTATCTCTCCTATTTCAGTTAACTTTCCCTGTCGGCTCCGGCTTAATAGCGCAATAATCGAAAACGGTGAATAAAGAGTATATCTCAAGTAACAAGAGGAGCTTAATCCAAATCTCCACTTGGCAAAATAAAAGTGTTGGCACAATAAAGCACCCAGACTAACATCCTGCTGCTAAACTGCCGGACACGACAGGGGGAAATAAAAAAGAATTAATCATTTAAAGTAACACTAACACTCTTTTGGGTGCAGTTCCTCTAAACGTAGTGAAAAATATAACTGATCCATATGATGGACTTGGCCTCAGTAATATGTGGATTCATAATAAAAGTTAAGGAACATATTCTTATTTATTTGTTTGTGTTTGTTTGTTTCTGATGCCCCTGTTTAAGGGGGTTGGAGATCTGGCAACCTGAGTGCAGACCTTCACTGGAGAGGGTGTTTACAGCAGTGATTCTCAACCCACGGGTCGCGACCAAAAACTCCTAAAGGGTCGCAAGGCAGCAAGGTCCTATGCTGATTCAGGATCAGATTTCATATGCAAACAGGCCTTGGGTCTGCAGATGCTTAGCGTAAAACTACTTAACCCTCAACCAACCCAAGAAGCCAAAACGCAGATGCTTAATTTAAAATTCACTGGCACCTCCAATCAGATTTGTGCAATAGGCATTGGTGTAAATTGCAGAGTGCGCTGCGTGTTTGATCAAAGCGTTAATTTAGGCCTATACTTCATACAGGGTCACATCTGAGCTGTCATGGTAAAAATTGGGTCGTGGTGCAAAAAAGGTTGAAAACCACTGCAGCTCACTGAGAAGCAGCTCTGTGCCTAATTCTGGCCACGTTCTGCCGCTCTATCCTGGAAAGGAGCCATTAGAAATGTAGTATGGATTGGCTCCGTGAACAATTAGCGGCGGTACTAGCCAGCGTAGCGTCTCTGCCTGCTGCCCGGCGGTGGGAGGGGCCTTCCGCGAAGTGCGCTTGGCCAAACGCCCAGGCCAGCATATTGCCTCCGTCCCTCGATGGCATCCTTTACACACGTGGGCGATTTCGTGTCCCACGGGCGGCACGCCGAGGAGGAAAGAGGCGAGACTCTGCTGGCCGTGAGGGCCGCCGCTCCGCACGCGTGTCTGTGTGTGTGCGTGTGTGCGTGATCGAGGGTGCGAGTGTCTCATTGTGTAATGATGTGGCAAGACTGACGCGCAAGGAATGGGCTCAGAGAGCTGACACGTGCACCGCGCCTCACCCGCTGCACACCTGCTCCAGGAGGCTGATTTCCTGTGGGAGCCCCTGTCAGGGTGTCCTCTGGGTGGCACGGTGACTCAGCAGGCAGCAATGTCACCTCACGCCTCTGGGGCTGCAGGTCCGATTCCGGCCCCCACTCTCTGTGTGGAGTTGATGTCCTCTGGTTACTTTGGTATCCCTCCCGGAGTCCAATGACCTGAGTTTGGCGAATGTCTTTCAGCTGCCCTAGTGTGTGTGTGTGTGTGTGTGTGTGTGTCTTACCACAGCCTGGCATCCCATTCAGAGTGTCCCCTGCTTCGTGCCCTATGCTGTCTGGAATTGGCTGCAGACCCACTACCTCTCCATGGCCATTACGTGGTTAAATGGATTGATACTTTTTATAGCAATTTTGATATTAATACTTAAAATGAAACTTTTCTCCTATCTCATACTGTCATTGTCCTGTCCTGATACATTTCCCCATGTATTTCAGGGGTAACTGTATATTATTACTTTAGCCAGTTTTAAGGTGGATATGCTGAGCAGATATCTATGGAGCTCAATATGGGAATTCACAGATAACCTTCATTCTGAGAAATAAATCATTACTGCGATCATTACAGATTAATAGCTAAAACGGGGTCGTATTCATTATATTTTAATGACAGTCCTTATAGGAATATTCAGTACTGCTGGCGTTTCTCGAGTATGTGTGCGTGTGTGTGTATGTGTTTATGTCTGTGTCTATGTGTGTCTGTGTATATGTGTGTCTGTATGTGTTTGTGTATGTGTGTATGTGTGTGTGTGTGTGTTTGTGTATGTGTGTATGTGTGCGAGCGGGTTTACCTATCTTTATGGGGACACAATGTCCCCATAACGTGATAAATATCTGTTTTTTTTCCCCTTATGGGGACCGGTTTCCTGGTCCCCATAAGGGAAAACTCTATTTTATAAAAATCGGTGACTGCTATGAAAAAACTAAAAATGCAAAAACTCTTGTATTTTGTTAGGTTACTTATGGTTATGGTTAGGGCAGGGTAGGGGTTAAGGTTGTCATAGTTAGCGTTAGCATTTTTCCCATTGAAATGAATGAGCGGTCCCCATAAGGATATGTTTACCCTACATGTGTGTGTGTGTGTGTGTGTGTGTGTGTGTGAACATAAGAGTATAAGAACATAACAAATTTACAAACGAGAGGAGGCCATTCGGCCCATCAAGCTCATTTGGGGAGAACTTAACTAATAATTCAGAGTTGTTAAAATGTTATCTAGCTCTGAGTTAAAGGAAGCCAGGGTTTTAGCTTCAGCTTACACGCTGTGTAAAGAAGCGTTTTCTTAAATTCAGTTCAAAATGTTCTCACGCTAATTTCCACCTAAGACCACGAGTTCTAGTATTTAAACTAATACTGAAGTAGCCATTTGGCTGAACAACATCCAGACCTGTTAGAGTCTTATATACTTGGATCATGTCCCCCCTTAATCTCATTTGCTGGAGGCTGAACAGATTCAGCTCAGCTAACCTTTCATCATAAGACATTCCTCTAAGACCAGGAATCAATAATCAATCAATGTGTGTGTGTGTGTGTGTTTCTGTGTGTGTGTCTCTGTGTATGTGTTTCTGTGTGTTTGTGTGTGTGTGTCTCTGTGTATGTGTTTCTGTGTGTGTCTGTGTCTATGTGTGTATGTGTTTGTGTTTGTGTGTGTGTGTGTGTGTGTGTGTGTGTGACTGCTTCGCTTGCTAATCATTGTCAAACGGGCTCATCATCTGTGTCGCCCAGTCATCTCTCCTGGGGACCCTCTGAATCCAGACAAGCAGCTCTGGATGCCCTTAAAACAAGGAGCAGACTTGCTGTCCCTTTGCAGAGTGGCTCAGCCCTGCAGAGTCTCAGTCCTGGTCGGCTGCTGCCTTCAAACGCCAGTAAGTTACCTTCACCTTTGTGGCCAAATGTTAATCTAGAGATGCTTTTAGTAATTAAAAGGTATGTTTAACACTAACATTGTAAAATGTTAATTGCAAATGCCTAATGGATAATAATTAAATTTAGTTAAAATATGAGAATAATTGTTAAACTGCTTTCTGTATTTACTGTAATACTTTTACAGGATTATGAAAAACATTGATCATTAATACTATGTGGAAAATAATTACAGTAAAATAGATTCTTCTGACTTTCATAGTTCAGATAGTTCACCTAATTTTTATTTGTAAAATACTTTCCTGAGCTTTCCAGGTGAATGACATGAATGAATATGTGATAAGGGTAAACTTCGTGATTTGACCTTGACCAAAATTTAGAAAAGAAGGATCATGAATTTAATGTGTTTTATGTGTCAGGTGCACTAATCCATACAAATCCTGCTGAAGTCAGAGCTGAACGTGTCGAACTGAAAGTATATGAGCCCCAGCTGCAAGTCTCAGCTTCATTCTGTGATTTATAGGAGGCTTTAGTGACATACATTACAGTGGTGACAGGACAGGGCCCCCTCCCCTATAACAGGTCGGTCGCGTGCTGTGGGGATTTTTGGCCCAGAGTTCCAGGCACCTGTACCATTCGGCCCTGCTGTGTTTCCTGAAGTGTGTCACTGACAATCTGTTTACTCTTATGCAGGATATAATGGGACAATAATGTGACATAACACCATACCGACCAGCTACCCCCCACCTGCATATGTCAACATTCTACAGCAGGGGCTTCAACAGGGATGTTTTTTGGGCAAATAAATGTACACTAGTTTATATAGTGTGTTCTTAATTATTGGCATTAAAACCAGACCCCTCCCCTAGTAAAGATTGAGCCCCACCCCTTTCATAAATCTCTAGCAATGGTCCTGTTCTGCAGTCAGAATATACCTTGGTTAAGCCTCAGACATTCATTACAAAGTTTAATGAACTGGTACAGTTTCAAAACAACACACTAAATAAATTAAAGAAGCTTAATAATCAAGAAAATTTAAACCATGTTCGGTTAAAAATTAGAGCGTGCTGTTTCGGCATCCAGTCTGTAAACAAACTGATTCGGAACGCCCCAACTCTACAGACCAGGCCAGAAGCAAGACTGGGTCTCTTCTGCTGAGAGTTAGCCAGGTCTCCAGCGTGAACCTGGCACACATTAGACCATTGCTGTCCATGTCTCTCTGCAGAGCTGCCATGTCTCCCGTGTCAGCCAGCTCTCGCCTGAACAAGAATTTGCATCAGCACTACAGGAGCCTGCCGCAGGGCGACGTGGCCCAGGTGACCTACGTGTGGATCGACGGCTCCGGCGAGACTTTGCGCTGCAAGACGCGGACGCTGGAGTGCGAGCCGCAGGGCATTGAGGGTAATGGGGCCGTGGGAGGCAAAGAAACCTTTACAAAAACTATCCACTCATAGCATGTGATTTATGAACTTGTGTTCTTGAATATTTTCAACAAAGCAACAGCAGCGACGTGTCTACTTGGGGTTTGAACTGGTTCAAATGGGGGTCAGTGTCTCCGTACACAATGCCTGACTGACTATCTGCTCATTATCAGATGTGATTATCTGATTATCTCTGTGGTAGACCTTCCGGAATGGAACTTTGACGGCTCCAGCACATACCAGGCGGACACCTCCAACAGTGACATGCACCTTGTCCCTGTGCGCATGTTCCGCGACCCCTTCGCTTTGGACCCCAACAAGCTGGTACTGTGTGAAGTGCTGAAGTTCAACCGCCAGCCCGCAGGTGCCATTTCTGAACCCATCGGCTCCTCCATCTCCTGATAGGCTCATCTTGTCTCTGTTGGTGTCCATAGTAACGTCCTCAGTAGCCCTCTTTGTGTGTTTTTCCACATTCTTCATTAAATTCACTGAGTAGTTTCATTTGAGATTGATAGTCTAGTCTACCTCATGGCCCTATAACTGACTCATTTCAAGCAGAAGATATTCAACCTCAGTTTTACCCTACGACAAAGAGGTCAATCTCTGTGCTATGTTTTGTTTGGCCCACTTGATTTCTCAATTTCCACAGATTTTTTATGATGTAATTTAAATATCCTATTTTTTAACAATGTTTTATTTGCTTTTTCTATACTTTCTTTATTTCCTAATATCTTTAATATTTCGTTTACCTCCCCACTTCTGAAGCAAACTGAACTACCCTCCACAGCCCCAGTGTCAGTCTGGCCAAACAAAACTCCCCCCAGTTGAAAGCTGACAGATCGGTTCAATGAGACCGACTAGGGCTCCCCAGACTGGCTCATCTTGTAAGGCAGCTTCCACTTTGGATCCATTTTCTGTGGATGTGGCAAAATCCAGTGAAAGACCAATACTACCTCATTAAGCCTCGGTGCAGAATCAATTGTCAAGGAGAGATGTAGTCCATTATTGTGTCAGGCCCATTTAAAACCTTTCAGTGTCCATAGCCATTAGGAATTATTCTTGTCTTTCCGAATAAACATCTGCTCTACTATTCATACCCCTACAGCCATATCATATGGAGAGAGGATAAAATCAATGGGAACTGCAGGCTGCCTACAGTACATTTGACATGTATACTGTATAGATTATATGTGAGGCCTTCATAGTTTTGTACTAGAATGTGAATCTCTTCCAGAGACATGTCACCGTACCTTTAAATAGACCATGTCAAGTGCTGCTGGAATTGTTTTTTGGGTGTTGTCAACAAGGAAATCTATCATTGCAGTTTCCAGCAACCTCAGGCTGATTTACGAGTGGTTTCAAAAAGATGAACCATGTTAAACCCATGTCACATCCTAGTTGTTCTGGGTATACAGCACACAGCTGTCAAACCACCTACTAAGAGATGTTCTTCATTAGGTTTCTGATTAATTTTCCCTCCAATACATGCTTTACAGAAAATGCTGACCTGGCAGGAATCTGTCAATCATGGGCACAGCCTCTATACCAGGGTTCTTCAAATCTGGACCTCGATTCCAAAACCAGGCCTTGTTTTCAGTTCTCCCAGGTAGTTAGTTTAAAGATTACTGATTCTGATTGGTCAGAAGCTTCACACCTGACTGACAGGTAAAGGATGGCTGGAAAACTAGCAGTGCTCGGACCTCGAGGACCATGATTTGAATAACCCTTCTCTATACCTTCTACGCTTTTTTGTGCAGAGACCAACCTGCGAGTCAGGTGTCGGAAGGTGATGGAGGACGTGCAGGACCTGAAGGTGTGGTTCGGCATGGAGCAGGAGTACACTTTGCTTGGGGTCGACGGCCACCCCTTCGATTGGCCGCAGAACGGGTTTCCGGGGCGACAGGGTAAGCCCCCCCCCCAGCAGGGGTCTGTGAAGCACAACACACTTAAAGCTGATTTATACTTCTGCACCAAATCGACACCGTACCGACGTACACCCCCCAGAAATGTAACTACACATTGCAGTGACCCAGACCGCAACAACTGTGACTGGTCCCCTTGTTAACACCACACTTCCTAGTACGCAAATGTTTTGTTGCTGTTCATTTCCAACTGGGGGTATTCTAGGTGAGACAAGTTGCATTTAGCTTGTTGGTAGACTTCTGTTTTTACCACGGTTGCAGCCGCTCATGCTGTTAGAAAACATGGTTGCATTTGTTTACACTAAAACTTCACCATATTGGCAAATTTCTGATATCGAAATGCGATTTTTTTTTGAGCATACAAGAGGGCACATGCAGCGGCAGTAAACGCTAAACAGATTTTTAAACCGATACTAGATAATCTTGAAAAGGAACAGTCATTAAAACTGGAAAGCTTGCTAAGTTTTGTTTCCTACATCAGAGTAAAAATGTTTTAAGAAAACTGTGCTCAGCCAAATGGTGTTTTGACAGTGTAATTGTGGAGCAAGACAAACACACCAGCACAGAAATATTAAGGCTCGCAACAGCATAGGCCACTTGCGTTGGCTATGGTGTAAGCTCTGTGTAGGCTATGGTGTAAGCTCTGTGTAGGCTATGGTGTAAGCTCTGTGTAGGCTAGATACCGAAGTGTAAATCAACCTTTAGATGGTAAAGTTCTTTTGAATTTCCTGACCCAAAGTCTAGTGCTTGATTTCACAAACAAACGTGAAGAAATAAGTTAGCAGCATCTTTCTAATGTGCTGAGCTTTGATCACCATTTCTGATTGGATAAACCTTCGGAGTTAAACCAATCTGGCGTACTCTGGCTTCAGTCTTACGCAGCCGAAAGGGCGGGTATGTGTCCTAACTTAGTACAGGATATAAATATCAGTTCTAATGCAATGCCACACCACGAGGAGGCTACACCTTTGAGATTTAGGGTGTCCAGCTTCTCCTGCGCTCCCCCAGGCCCGTACTACTGTGGTGTGGGGGCAGACAGAGCCTATGGTAGAGACATCGTCGAGTGCCACTACAAGGCCTGCCTGTATGCTGGGATCAAGGTCGTCGGCACTAACGCAGAGGTCATGCCCTCTCAGGTAAGGAGCTGCCGAGCCACATCCTACTGCTGTATCTCCATCCACTGAGTGATCATATCACTGCTGGCCCTTTGATCAAGACCCTAAGCCGCCGATGCTGGCCGGCCCTCCTCTCTGACCTCAAGCTTTCCTCGCTTGTATGTCTCTTTGGACAAGAGCGTTTGCTAAATAAATGGAGATGCAAACCCACGGTCTTGTGCGTTGTTTGGCATGGCTGGTATGGTTGGCGAAGGCTGTGCACATCATGTCCAAACAACTGATTAAAGTGGCTTACATAACAGGAATGTAAATCATTGACGTGGCTTAGGAAATGAATGTTTACCCTTTGCTTGTGAAAAAATCCTATTCATTTTAGGAGGGAAATTCTCTTCTTTTGTTAGAGGTTGTATTAGAGCATTCTGGAGAATTAAAGAAATGCAATGTCAGTTGTGGGACGTCAGTCTTTTCCAGGCTGTGACTTCATCCCCCTCCTCCCACTTATTTGCCCTCTTTCATGGCCCCCATCTTCCTCCATCACTGTCCTGTTTATGTCCCGCCCCGTGTTCTGACCGGGGGCCTACAGTGGGAGTTCCAGGTGGGCCCAGGGGAAGGGCTGGACGTGGCCGACCAGCTGTGGATGGCGCGGTTCCTGCTTCACCGCGTGTGCGAGGATTTTGGGGTGGTGGCGAGTCTGGACCCCAAGCCCATCACGGGGGACTGGAATGGTGCAGGCTGCCACACCAACGTCAGCACAGAGGCCAGCAGGGCCGAGGGGGGGCTGCAGTGAGTGTGGAGCTTCGGGGAGTGCATACGGGGAGACACACACACACACACACACACAAACACACAGATATCCTAGCATAATGCATAATAAATGCACACCCAGACCCATATACAAAATCAGGGCATTTTTCCAGTTGGCTGATGGGTTTGTGGGCTGGCAAAATTTATCATGGTGCCCCCCCTCCCTCTCCACTCAGTAAAACTCATCAGACAGAACCCCCCCCCCCCCCTCAAAAACTGGTAAAAATGTTCTGTTTGTATGTGTGGTGGGCCAGTCCTGGCAGGCGTTCTGAGCTGATTTCTATTCACAGTCCAGAGCAACGCACAAAACATTAATGTGCATATTGTGCAGACATTAAAACGTAGCGCATGTCTCAGGAAGAAGATGTTCCTGGATCCACAAGTAAGGGCATTGTTTGTTTAAGTAGATTTATGGAGTCAGTTAAACCTGTCTGTCAGGACAGGACTGTTGATCTGCCATTAGGCTGTCAGACTGGAGGACTGAGGTGGAGATGGGGTGGAGGTCTAGGGACCTTAAGCAGTTCTTACAGGGCAGGTTTGTGCTGTTTCCCAGTTGCTTGGCTACGTTTGCTAAGCAGGAACCAAACATAGTTGCGAACTCTGCGCCGTGACAACATTCACACACATATATGAGAGAGAATCACTCAAATTCATTGCAGCAGATTTCAAACATAATGAGCTGTAAATAAAAACATGATGCCCCCAACAAAAAAGGTATATGGAGGAGGCCATCGAGAAGCTGAAGGAGCGACACGCCCAGCACATCCGTGTGTACGACCCTCGCGGGGGCCAGGACAACCTGCGGCGTCTCACGGGACTGCAGGAGACGTCCAGCATCCACAGCTTCACGGCCGGCGTGGCCGACCGCGGCGCCAGCGTCCGCATCCCGCGCCAAGTGGGCCTGCAGGGGTGGGGGTACTTCGAGGACCGGCGGCCCGCGGCCAACTGCGACCCCTACGCCGTCACCGAGGTCATTGTCCGCACCTGCTTCCTGGGATGCCCTGGGGGGGGGGACTCCCCTGAGCCGGGGGCCCGTCTCCTGCACCAAGCGGGATGGTTGGAGGCCTGAATATTTTTGTATAAACCACCACCTTTAATAACCTCGGGAGATGTGATGTAGTAGTTTCGGCATTTCCCACAGATGTAGATTATTGCAGGTATTTTTAGCTTTATTAAGGGAATATATTTCTTTAATACTTGTATTCCGGGCTGCAGCATACCCAGGAATTCTGAACCTGTTGACAAAATGTCACCAGCCCCCCCAGTCATATTTCACATATAATTTTACATATTCACAGGCCCGGTCAAGTGCTGGGCCCCCTAAATCTACCTGTATCCATGCCCCCCCCAATGCCCCTGATTTTGAAGGTAAACAATCACACTGGCTTGAAATTGGACCAGCTGAAACAGAACACTTGGTTTTGAGTTTAAATACAGAGATGATGTCAAGAACAGGCTCCAGATTCCATTATAAGGAAATGTTGTACATCCATCCACTGTCCAGGATAGACAGGGTCCTATTGTCTAGCTTTATGCTGAACAAACTTACTTTAAAAATGGAATCATTGTAAAGGATCAAGCATTCTCATATCTTTTATTTAATGTTCAGGTTGTTTTCAGCTATTATGTTGACTGTTTTGCAGGGTCTTATTACAGCTGTGTTTCCAAGATAGAAGGCATTTTTAAAATAAATGGTGTTCAATTATAGGCTTTTATGCTTCTTTTTAAATTAAACATAACATAAAGAGTCACAGTCTGCCGTTCTGGTGCATGTTAGACCGGGGACACGAATCAGTGTAACAACAGAACGGCAGCAAGAAATCGGAGAGTGATTTTCCGGAATTAACTATCGTCACCAAACCGTAATTAATTTAACCCAGCTCTCCTACGCTGTATCCCTGGGGAAAACGTGATAAACCACAAAAAACATGGTGGTCATATTGCAGTGAGTACTGTAACATATCTCGACTGCTTCCATAAAACGCATCACGTCATAAAAATGACATCATCACTCATCCATACCCCAACCACCTACCCCGGTTAGGGTTGTGGGGGTCAAAGGTTCAGCGTTTATTTGTAATCATTAGTGCTCGCTGCTTGGAATTAGGTCTACTGTAGTATTTTTAAATGTTACGACAATGATAAGAGGTACCGGGGTTTTCTCTGAACACCTGAATCTCTGTAGAATCAAACAGCGTTTGCGCTCACGTTTCAAAATGAGTCTAATGTGCTTATCCAAATCACACACAAAAGACCACTAGATGGCAGCAAGGGCCTGTCAGGTTATAAGCTAGTTCCGCCGGTCTCTTTGGTGTCAGCGCTTATAATTTGTAACCATGGAAATTTTGCACGTAATACAATTTTTCTTGTCTAGCACCCAAGTTCAATTCAATCCAATTCACTTTTATTTTTAAAGGGCTTTTAACAAGGGGCAGACATAGTATTGACCAATACTATTTAATCAAATAAAGTCTAATTTACACAGAAGGGCCAACAATGTAATTGAAGATTAAAAGGTATATTCTAAACAACTGTAATTCTGATATAATTAGTTAATTCTGCTATATGTGTATGCTGCCTTTTGGCATCCAAGATGCAGCATCTAAACACCATATGAAGAAATTGTATTTTTATTTTGATAGTTATGTATATCAATGTTACATTTTGCTTGCTAGGCAAGGTGCTGTGAAATATTTAAGCCCTTTTTACCCCACGCTTAGTGAAATTATTACAATAACCCTATATGTAAACCCAAATCTGTTAAAATTAATGACATTATATGTTGTAATAAATCTATTAAATGCTATAGGACTTTAAGTTATAGTTAATTTAACTGACCAAAGAGTGCTGAAACTAAGGAACAGCAGACAAGACCATAAGATCTCATTTAACTTCAGTCTGTCATTGCCATGGTTACACAGTAGCCAAGCAACAACCGTGCCCATTGTCCTGGAAATGCAGTGGACCCCCATCTCCAGACCTCAGTCCCTATATGAGAACCAGATGACAGATGTGACACACGCCATCGCAGGAGATTCTAGCCTAATTGATGGTATTTCTCTATACTTTTAATCAGTTTCTTCTATCAGACCCATATTTCTGACCAAAGACAAAAATTGGTCAATGACGAGACTTAAGGCCGAATCGTTGCTGGTTCCAGTCTCTGGTGGGACGGTGGAGCTACTCTGGGTCATTTTCACAGAGTACTTCATATGAAATTGCATCATATATAATATTTTCAGCCAAACAAAGTTGTGAAATGGCTCTCAGTGTTCACCGGAGACCTCTGATTTCCTGACGTTGTACTGATGTTGTCCAGAATCATGTGACTTGGCCCACGTCAGACGTTTTTACTGGAGCGTCCCATCAAGGCAGCAAATTGCTGCATTCCTGCCAGCTGCTCCATATCAGGCGAGTCATCAGTGCCAACAGGACAATTCTGGAAGACCTAAAGGGCTTTGCCAATTTATTTCTGGCTGCATTTTCTCCATCTTCTCCAAGTGAGTATCTGAGAGAACACAGGGTAGATCCCCAGTGGCTCTCCTTGAAGGACACCATTTGTGCACATTTCCTTCACCCGCTCATTTAAACAATGAACAACATTGACACTGAGAAAGAATGTTGAACTTGATTACATGGGGGGGGGGGTGCTTAGATTTAAACTGATTGTATTGATTCTGAGTGTCGGCTTCAAACCTGGACCCCCCCAGTCCTGATTCTCATTAAAACTGTAATTTAACGTCGTATACAAACCCTGCTCATACTGCTGCCCAAGTGGAAATAAAATACACATTCTGATGGGTCGAGCCTGCATACAACAGATATATTCAGCAGTTAATATACATGCCTGTCCCTGTAAGCCAGTAAAGGGATTCAAGGGGGCTTTTACTTTGACTACTGGGCGTGACATCATTGTTGTAAATGTAGAGGATGGCTGAATGATCTCTGAAGCAAGTTAATGTTAATCCCTCAGTGGAGCATGGAGCAGAAATGAACAGGGAAAGGCACGCTTTGTGGGAGTCCGCAGCAGCCATGTTGGGACTTAGCAAGTGTCATCTTCTGCAAGGAGCGTTTAGTTCTACTGACAGACAGTAGAAAAAAGCTGTCAAGTAAAAAAAAAAACGCTCACATTTCAGTTGTTGTATTTACATTGGAGGAGAGTAAAACAAATTTAGCTTAAAGGGAAGTTCTTGGCATCCTGTCCAGGGTATGCACTTCAGTTGTGCCCTGTTCTGCTTTGGAAAAGCTCAGGATCCTACACTCAGGATCAACTGCTCCAATTACACACTCTGACCAGGCCGTGGAAAAGATCCAGCGATGTTAAAATTATTTATTATTGATTATACGGCGTGAGTGATCAGGCGAGCCGTATTAACGTTTCTTGGGGAAAAAACTCTCATTAAGTGCACAGTTTTACGCTGAGTGTGGTATTTCACACGACATGGGCTAAAACTGAAATATTGAGCGGGGGTATTAACGTGAATCATCCTCCGCTTAGAATAATTGCAGCTTCTTCCGAATGCTTTTATCTTGCAGACAAGAGGGATCACGCCGCAGGAGGCGTACTGGAAACGGAGTGAATCGCAGCAGCCGTGAGCGCAGCAGACGAGGCAGTGCTCCGGTCCGTATCGGGCGTGACGTCAGGCCGTGGGAGCCGCGCGGGGACCGGGAGCAGGTGTGTAGCGGCGCTGCCGTGCGCTTTCTTACCCACAGCCGTACCTCCACCGCTCCAGACGACATGGGGAAGCTCCAAGAATTTGATATCGCTTTTACCAACAACAAGGTGGTGTACAGTCCTGGAGAGTCCATATCGGGAACCGTGAAGATCACAACTAGCCACCCTCTGCAATGTAAAGGTAAGGGAGGAACGGGTTTTTCCTTACCATTTATCTGCGATTGGTACTATAGTCCCCGGATTGTCGCCCCTTCGCTTCTTATGGATATTATATGCTGAGGTAGCAGTGAGGAAAGTTTAATTTGTGGGATACGGAGTATAAAGGAAACATGTCAGTCCTAAAATTGCGTTTAGTTCATTACAAGTTTTCTTTTCTGACATCTTGAGTGAGGCTATGGATTGCGTTCGGCTGACAGATAGAAGTCTTACATAGTTTTGAAGCGGAGATCCATCTGCATACACGGAGAAAGGGGAACCTTTCGGCACGTATGTGGCTGCGCCTTCGAGTCCGAGAGAAACCGCGTCTGTTTGAAAAATAAATGTGTTCAGATTATTACAGGGGACATTTAGTGTCCTACAACAGCGTCCAAGAAGGGTGACATTCAATACGGATCGTGCCATTGTGGCATTCAGTTGATACATGCTGTATTTTTCCTTTAAACCTTTATAGGCATTAATCCGACTTGTGTATGTGTTGAAACAATTACCCAATTCCACTGGCGTAATTGCCATACAATTTTACTTATATGATACTATGGTTTAAAAAGTGATGCATAGATAAGCATATACACTTCAACAGGTGTATGGGGTCTGTGCCCGAGAGGACAAAATCATCCTCTATCCGAACACATAGATCGAAATCAACGATATAGATTTGGGACTTATTTGTAATAGTGTTGTTAATGTTAATGTTGCTGTTCATCTAAACGTGTGCATTTCCTGTTATCTAAGCAGCAGAGCTTGGGAATATGTAAGCAATACATTTCCTTGTTCTCGGTAAAAATAGATCAAGAACGTTAATGGGCAGAACAAATGAATGAGGCACGTTTTGGGCTGAATTAATGTTAGTCACGTAATCCGAGGATAAGGGACTAACTGCGTACCGGAATGACGCAACAAACAAAGCCGCAGAGATAAATGTTGGATCTGGAAGGAAGGTTAGACATGGAGCAGGTATGCTTCAGAGCAGCTCAGGTTTCCACAAAGGGCGTATTGTATGCAGGGTTTCACTCCTGCCGGGAAGTGACCCGGCTGAACCCGAAACTGCCCCGCCCCGTCCACCTTACAGACTTCAGAGCGCTGCGGAGCCGATCGCAGCTCCTCCCTGGACTGGGACGTGGGTTTTGGGTTTTCAGGAAGACGTGGCCGGCGTTGCAGTTCTCTGCGGCGTTTCTGAAGTGTGAAATCCGACGGGTGCTCAAAAAGGGTGTATAAGTTTCATGTACGAATTACTCATCAAGCCGCGCATGATTCAGCTCATATGATTCTGTTTTCGTATACATCCTCTCCTGTCTGTCACTCAGATCCGCTGAGCGTGCAGGAACGATCTCGGCGGTTTGTTTACAAGGAAAAATGCAATGGGTTAACACCCATCTCTGGACGCAGACGCTGGTAGATGATGACCTTTCCTACCGCTATAGTCTGCAAGTCTGTAGTATACAGGTGTACATTATAATATGCGGGTAGCCGATCGGAAAGCAAGATCTGACTTTGGTAGGCATACTGTTAGTAAGTTTAAGTTGCTTAGAGCAATATTAAGAACGAGCTGTTGTTGAATTCTGATGAAAGCAATTTTAGGCTTGGAGAAGTATTCATAAATTGGCACGTGTGGGGAATGAGTATATTCAGAACGCCCTAGCAATTCCGTATGAAACCTGAATTTTTTCCTGCAGTTATAATAAGTTGCACCTGCCAAGGTAAACTCGCTTGTCAAAGTTTCAGACGGTTATCTTCTTAAGCGTGCGCCATAGTTTATACACAGTAAATATTTTACGTTTCATTCTAATTCCTGTTTACTGATTTAAAGTGAATGTGAAAGCTGTCGCATTGGCTTTTCTGTGAAAAGAGCGTCAGGTGTTTGTTGACAGTTTTTTCTGCTTTTTTTTTTTTAAAGATATTTTATTATTGCACTCGATAAGCCTGCTGCGCCACGGTCGCTTCACGCTGGGAGGGCAGAAAATCGGAGTGGAATAATTAATTTTTTCTTGGCTGGCTGGTCTTCAGGTTTGCCAAGGCTGAGGTATGCAAACACAGCGACTGTTGCCAGCCGTTTGTGGGAACAAGTGCATCTGACTACCTGTTTGTCTGTCTGGAAAAACAAACAATAAAATGTGTTTTTTACTAAATCTGGCCCTAAGTATGTTCAATCGCGTAATTTCATTAAATTTTGATAATTTCGAATCTGAGATATATTTTGCTCAGTAAAAAAAAAATGGCCAAAAAACCTCAGTCATAGAGTGTTTTATCTTTGTTTTGAACAGTTTTTTTCCAAGGCTCAGCTTATTTGACCCAGTCACCTTTCAGATAGTCTGTGTTGGCTTTGCCGTGGACAGAACACGCCAATGGTGCCTCCTATGTAACATATGTAAACTGTTTGATAGGGAGGAGTGCACACCTAGGTCGGAATTAATGCTAGTTTATAATGTCTACTGCTGTTAAAGTTGTGCAAAAAGTACTCCTCTCAATATTACAAAAGCAGTTGCCCATTTGGGATTATAATGGCAACCTTAAGGTCACAACGTTAATATCTTCACTGCCGTGCCCCACCCCATCATACTAATAGGGTCAGAATTCCTGTCAGATTATAGTGTATTCAGTGTCTGGGGTTATGTTCTGAGGGAACAAAGGTCTATGTGTGCCATGGATACTGAATACGCAGGTAATTCGGTGCTCTTGCCACTTTACATATTGGCTGTTTTCAGAGGTCGACCAGTTGAAGCCAAACGCTTGAGACTGGACAGACGGTTTGCCAGCTGTTAGAAGAACTCTGGCCGTGATAAACACAGAACATTACGGCCTATTTTTAACCTACATCACATCTGAAGATCCAGGGTGAGAGTTTTAGTTGCTTTGGGTGTTGCTGAACCTTCAGCACATGATCTCCCTGATGCCTGATTTGTCAGTGACTTGTAGTTCTGGTGATTACTGGTGGTCACTTACACTTTTGACCTTAGTTATGTTTGTATGTAAATTATTATTAATCGGATTAGTGTTTGACTACTAGATTATTATTTTTTTCTGCTTAAGACTTGAGATGGTCCATATTCAGTGGTCTCCAGTGGGCTGGTTTTGACTGGTGCTTTCCTCCTGGACTGCTGGTATCTTGATGTTAGGGACGCTCACTGTTGAGAGAACCCTGAGATGTTTCTTTTCAAGGTTCTTCTTGATTTGCCACATTATGTTTCCACACCGCAGCAAACCCTTGTAGATACTAGCTGTTGCTTTTCCGCCAGCTAACGACCGGACTTGTGGCCTCTGCCCAAACTACCCCTCCCTCCGCTTTGTGTTTCTGGGCAACAGTCTGAGTCCATGCTAACATCTTAGCTTTGTGCTTTTAAAAGCTTCTGCTTAAGCAGATGTCACAAGAGCCAAAACCATCTCCCCAGAAACTGAGATTCAACTGACCTGAAATTGGCTCCATATCTACCTCCCAGACCTCTGCTGGCTGAGAACTGCCTTTCCCTGTTCTACCTCTGAAACGCGTTGGCTTTCTACCAGAATAACGATGGTGGCCTTTTGGAAATGATCCTCGCAACCGTCTACATTTGCATGAAGCTGCTAGCCGCTCCCCCAAACGTCACAAGAAGTAAAGAACATCACAGCCGTGCTAATAGCCCCATAAAACAGACCACTTCTTAATAACAAGGGCTAGTCCGTGGCCGACCTACAGTGGGTCGGACATATGAGGATGTTGTATAAATGTTTACCCCGGGCTGAATGTGAGGTCACCGTGATCGTGTGCTGGATAAATGGTTTGGATGGTGGATGGAAGCTTGGACAAGGGGTTTGGCAGCCCGTTGAATGTCAGTCCTGCTTCATGCATGTGTGAGGTTGTTCCTTCCAACAAGCATAGCGTTACTCACTGCGTGTGCTGCCTTCCGCTTCTCCTTAAACAAAGTTAGTAACGGACCGCGTGAGTCACGGACGATGCAGTTGTTTATTATTATTATTTTAGGTTGGGTGAACTTCTGCTCAGATGGAGGAGTGACTAAGCCCCAGTGGTGTGGGATTTCCCTTAAATGTCAGCTTGTAAGCCCTACCAGAGATTCCAGTGAGATGTGCAGATCCAGACGTGCGTTAGCCTAAACAAAGTGCCACGCCTCCAGACCGCTGTGGTCCCAGAGGCCAGTAGTGTTTTCTACACACATTAAACTCACCTATGCTAGCAGTGACACTAGTGACCTGTTTCACACACTTGCCCTGGGGTGTTAGGAATTAATTCCACCATCACTGTTTTAGGTATGTGAACTGCTAGGCCTACATACTGCCTAGGCCTACATACTGCCTAGGCCTACATACTGCCTAGGCCTACATACTGCTAGGCCTACATACTGCCTAGGCCTACATACTGCCTAGGCCTACATACTGCCTAGGCCTACATACTGCTAGGCCTACATACTGCCTAGGCCTACATACTGCCTAGGCCTACATACTGCCTAGGCCTACATTCTGCTAGGCCTACATACTGCCTAGGCCTACATACTGCCTAGGCCTACTTTCGCATCAGACGACCTGGATCAGTTTTAATACATTTTTTTCCAGCCCTTGTTTTAACAGGCAGCCCACAGAGTTGCTAATGAAGCATTTAAATAATTTAACATATATTCTTTCTCTCCTTTTAATGTCACAGGTAATTAACGCCCCCCCTGTCCTCCCCTATTCCAACACCATCAAGCCCAAAATACCCAGGGTGCAGTTCTGAAATTGCGAGAGAATGGAGGGATGGGTCCCTGACTGCCTGGAACTGGCCTTGTTCTGGTTGCCTTTTGTAGCTAACCCGCCCCCCCCCCCTCCTCCCACCCAGCACAGCCTTCCCCCCCTGGGGGGCATAACCTTCAGTCCATTCTATCAGCTCTGTCACGCCCGGTGTGGCTAGTCCTCTTACGAGCTCGACTCTGTCCATCCACTTTCAGGCATCCAGAGGATAAAGTGCTGATGGGCAATAGGTGGGGGGGCACGGGG